TTCAGGCCAAAAGGAAAGGACCATTACAGTTTCTTGCAGATCAGAGTCCAAGAAGCTGGGCCTTTGAGGCCATGGAACAATGGCTCATGGCCAGGAGCCAATACATCTCAGCCCAAGTCTAGGAGATAGGGGAGGGAAACCAGGGAGGCTTCTGGGTCTGTCAAAATAGAGTCTGGGTCATGTGGGTGACCATGAAGCAGCATCCTAGTAGCTGGATGTCTCAGTTTCCTCAACATAAGACTACCTGTACTGTCTCTTCTTAGATATGCTGCAGGCAGTGTGTGTGTGTGTGTGTGTGTGTGTGTGTGTGTGTACCTGTGCAATTGGGTGTCGAGGCCACAGGTTGTCATTGGGTCTCTTTCTCAATTACCAACAACCTTATTGTTTTTTCTTTTTTCTTTTCTTTTCTTTTTTTTTTTTTGAGACAGGGTTTCTCTGTGTAGTTCTAGCTGTCCTGGAACTCACTCTGTAGACCAGGCTGGCCTCGAACTCAGAAATCCGCCTGCCTCTGCCAACCAAGTACCAGGATTAAAGGCGTGCGCCACCACCGCCCAGCCCACCTTATTTTTCAATAAGCCTTTATTACTTACTTGTGTATATGTATTTGCCATCGGCCAGAGGACAACTTTCAAGGTGTCAGTTTTCTCCTTCTACCATGTGTGTCCCAGGGATCAAACTTCTCAGGTTTGGTGGAAGAAACTTTTACTTTTGTTTTGTTTTTTGTTTTTGTTTTTCGAGACAGGGTTTCTCTGTGTAGCCCTGGCTGTCCTGGAACTCACTCTGTAGACCAGGCTGGCCTCAAACTCAGAAATCCGCCTGCCTCTGCCTCCCAAGTGCTGGGATTAAAGGCGTGCGCCACCACCATCCGGCTAGAAACTTTTACTTGCTGAGCAATCTTCCTGGGCTTCTAGTTTACTTATTTAAGTGTATGTGTATGGGTGTTTTGCCATATGTGTGTCTGTGTGCGATGCTCACAGAAGTTGGAAGAAGATGTGAGACCGTCTGGAACCGGAGTTGGAGACAGTTGTGAAGCACCCACGTGGGTGCTAGGAGTCAAACCCAGGTTCTCTGCAAGAGTAGTGGATGTTCTTAACTGCTGAGCCATCTCTCCAGTGAGCTGCTAGGATCCGGCTCTGTGCCCTCAGGGTTGGGCCTGCAGATGCTGTGCTTGCCCCTCCTCTGTGCTTGTCTCCTCTGTGCTGGGATCTGAGCTCAGGTCATCATGTCTCCCAGGTGCCCATTCTTTCCCAGTAGAATCTTATGTCTGCAGAGGGGCAATGCAGGCAGCCTTTCCTTCCTCTTTAGCAGCTTCAAGTAGCAATTTGTGGCCATTAAGAGGCAAAGGCAAAGGCGGATTGGGTGTGTACTTTTTTCTCTTCTACCTTCCAGGAACTGCAAACTCCACGGCTGGAATTAGGGAAGTCATGTGGAGAACAAGTGGATGAAAGTCACTCCATAGTATTGGCTGAGTGGTGAGCAGGAGCCTGGTTCCTGGAGCCACTGTGGTAAGGAGCCCCTGACGGAGGCAGACGCGCCTGTAGCTGGAACCCTCCATTTCTTGCCCTAGCTTTTCCGCCTGCCCCTTGCCAACCACTCAACCTAGCTGACTCGTCTTCATACTTAAGTTACATTTTCCAGCAAACCACTTCACCATTACCAGGGTTCAGCCACCGCTGTCTACCTTCCAGCCACTACAGACTGACTCTTCTCCCCTGGACATTCATCATGGTCACTGGGAGAACCAGAGTGGTATGTGGGGAGGAGATCAGGGAGGAGGAAACACTGGCTATGGCAAGCTGAGGGTCCATTCATAGAACCTCTGACAGGAGCATCCCAGCTTGGTGTGAATGGCCGAGTAATGACAGTCACCAGTTCTGGGTAGCCATACAAGTAGGGACTTTCCGAGAGCAGCGAAGCCTGTTGAAGTGCAGGAAATGCCCATCAACTCCCGGGGGGCACAGATGAGGGCTGCTAGAGTCCCATCGGGTACGGGAGTTTCTCAGTTGAGGTTTCAGCGGCTGGGGATGTGGAGATGACTCACCTGGGGGAAGTCATATTGGTTACATGGGGTGGGAAGGGCCCCAGGGCCCAGATTCAGCACCAGGCCCTGGTTTAAGGAGGCCAGTCCCATCTTTTCTGGACAGTGTCCCTATGTCACCTTAGCTGCCTTATTAGAGAGCAGAAGAGATGTCAACTAAGCACAGGGGATCAGAGAAGAGCCATTTGTGTGTCTGCTGGACAGTCTATGCTGGGTCTGCAGCAAGAAACCACTGAATTTCTACAGCAGCTGAAACAGGACTGGACAAGCTGGGCCAGAAGAGCACGGTCTTTACAGTGCAATCACAGGCCTCAGGATCCAGCCTGTCCCCACTGAAGGCTGTCACCTCTGCTCCCCTCAGACATATGTCAGAAGCAGGGTGGGGACAGGGAAAGCCTGTTAGCAATGAACCAGTGTCCTGAGGAAAAGATGACAGAATGACTACAGCTGTTCCAGTGCCCCAGCACAGCCTCAGTGTCTGCTGTCATCCCTGTGGCTCCTCCCAACAGAGCAGTGGAACAGAGACTCTGGATCTTCAGTGTGCTGCCAAAATGCTACCCACTAACAAGACAGTCAGACTGACAACTTGAGACAAGCTGGGAAGTTGTGCTTGATTCCAGGAGGCCTGTGTGAAATTGGCTATCAGAAGGGTCAAGGGGCCTCAGAGCAGGGTCTGGAAGGTTCTGACCACAGTGAGGGTTGATGGGGAGAGATGGCAGGGGCTAGAGAGACTGCAGGCATGGTGGCCTGGTAGCCTGGGGTCACAGGCAGGCTTTGAATGACTGCAGGGGACTTTAGCAGAGATGGTGGGGAGGTTGACTCCAGCTTGGCAGCCTGAATATATAGAAAAGTGCGTGTGTAAGGTGCTCTGGCAGCTTCCAGAGGGCGGGTGGGCCTTGCCCAGTACCCCTTAGGTTTCATCACCCCAGATGAGGGGCCTCAGAGTCCCTGGGACTGGAAGTGCAGTCCCCTAGAGTTGCAGGGTGGTGATGTCTCCTTCCTTTTGGATCTCAGTGAAGTCAAAGTGCACAGGGGGACCCCTTCCTGGCTGGTACTCACCTCTTGGTATTGTTTTGAGACAGAGTCTCAGTGTGTGGCTGTGGCTGTCCCAGAACTAATGTAGACCAGGCTGACCTCAGAGGTGTGAGGCATGAGGCGTATGTGAAACACACATGTTGCAGGCAAAAAGGGCGTGCAATGCTTTGGCGACGGAGTTGTCAGCCAACTGATGTGGGTGCTGGGAACAGAACTCAGGTCCTCTCCAAGAGCAGCAAGTGCTCTTAACAGCAGGGCTGCCTCTCTAGCCCTCCCAAAGTTACTGAATCTTAACCCAGAGTTCTAGAGAAAATGCTGCTTGCTGAAGCCGGTCTCCAGGGCTTCTCTGCTAGCCCTCTCTGCACAAAGGCTGCAGAGAAGTTACCTGGCTCTTTGGGCTTCACACTCGACAGTGGTTGCTCTCAGAAATACCTCCCACAGCCCCAGAGCCAAACTTCAATGGGTTCCTAGCAGCCCAGCAGCTCCTGCCATGGGTTTCCTCTGTCTATTCTAGACCTTGAACATGATAGGCTAGGCAAGCGCTCAGCTGTTAGGCCACGTTCGTTCTTATTTATTTATTTATTTATTTACTTACTGTTTATGTGTGTTTTGCCTGCATGTATGTCTGGATACCATGTGCATGCAGTGCCCACAAAAGCCAGAAGAGGGCGCTGGATTTCTTGGACCTGTAGCCATCTGGTGGGTGATGGGAATTGAACCCAGGCCTTCTGGAAGAGTAGACAGTGCTCTTAACCCCGAGCCATCTCTTCAGTTGTCCTCATAGTTTTTTTTAAAGAATAGATCCAAAAATGTGTTTCATTCAGCCAACAATAACAACTAGCTTTAAAGGGCTGGAGAGATGGCTCAGTGGTTAAGAGCACTGGCTGTTCTTCCAGAGAAACCTCATGGTGGCTCACAACCATCTATAATGGGACCTGATGCCCTCTTCTGGAATGCAGGTGTACATGCAGCTAGAACACTCATACATAAAGTAAATAAAATAATCAACAGCAGAAAAACCAAATGAACAAAAAACCTCCCCCAAACCCAACTAGCTTTATAAAAGCTAAGGGTCTCTCTACTGTTGAGCCATATTGTCTCGGTGCACCCCCAACCCCCACAGACATCCTAGACAGGGACTCTGGGCAGACAGTGCTGGCCATCAGCTGAGTGGACTGCCACACAGCACAGCACTCAGCAGCCCTGCGTTCTTACTGAAATATCTGGACACACTAACTAAGACACCCCAGAAGCAGGCTGCCCAGTAAGGAGGCTCCATGCCTGGGGACAGGTGAGCAAGTTGGGGCACAGGTCCAGTTGCCTGGGGACAAGACAGAGTCCACAGGGCACATAGGGATGCACACAGGGCTCACTGTGGGATGGGGTTTGGACAGATCTGTCTCCGCCACTGAGTTTCCTTGTGGGCTGTTAGTATTTGATGGCCCGTGGCAGTGTTCAGAAAGTGAACAACTGAGGTGTTCTTCATGGACAGCTGGTCCTTGGGGCATCCCTGTCAAAAGATGACTGAGCAGCATTTTCAGTACCCAGTGTGTTCAAGGCCCTGGCTCCCAGCCCAACACTGAAACAATAAAGAAAAAAGGGGTAATACCAACAGCATCCGTTGCCCACACGTCAGGAATGGAGGTCTCTGGGAACATCCACCCTCACCACACCTTGATCCTGACATTACAACCTATAGGAAAACCCGCATGTTGTGGCTACAGGCGTGTGCTGCCATGTTGGCTCCAGTGTGTTGTGGAGGGCTGTCTGCCAGTTGTCACAGAAGCCTCCTCCCCTCCGAGATGCGCCTGCCCACTGTGCTGTGATGACGGCGTCTGTCAGTCCCACCTGTAGCTAACATGGGTGTGCCCAGTGTACAGTGATTCGGTACAAAGGCTCTTGAGGAATGACAACCCAGGCAACGGTCTCCTGTGCTGTGTGTTATATTTAGAAGTCTACAAATGGGACCTTTTAAGAAAGAGTCACAAAATAGTCATCTGAAATCACATTTTTGGTTCATCAAATTTCAAATATATTTTACTGCCCTGAACAGTATATTCTGGTGCTGTCTAAAACACAGCCAAATGACTTTAGTGGCTTACATCTATCTGTAACTTTTGGAACATCAAGGTCAAGATAAAAAATATTAACAAAACTACCCGATTATAATCGCCCCCTCCCTGGATCTGAGCCTTGTCCTGAAGCTGCACTGCAGTCCTTCTCAGCCTGTGCTCCTGGGACTGGGACTGCTAAGTGCACTTGGGAGCCCTGGGCTGGCCACACTCATCCTCTCCCACGGTGACACCCAATGTATTCCCAGGCCGCAGTGAACTCCCTTGGCATCATGGAAGCTCAGGTTTGTTAAAGGAACTGACTGGGGAACACTTGTAAAAGTAGAGAATGTACAAAATAATTTACAGAGTGACAGATGGCTTTAAGTGTGTGTTGTTTGAAATCTCCTTGTTGTGTGGGGACACACAGGAAGCAATCTGTCAGCAGGGGCTGGGCACTTCTGGTCTTGTTTTTGTTGTTTTGCTTCTTTGCCGTGAGAAGTGTGTGCCGTGGATTTAGTTCCCCAGGCCTCCTGAGCCCACAGTCCACGGAGACTCTCAGGTGCCTCAGGTGAAGGCTCCCGGTCTGGAGAGAGGTGGGAGGAGCCATCGGCTCAGGCTTCCAGTTCTTGGAACTAAAGATGCCCCAAAGATAAAGCAAGGATATGCTTGAGAGACACAAGGAGCTAACCTAAACCAGAAACGAAAGCAAAGCCCCACTACATAGAAATGGGGAGGTCTCAGAGGAAAAGGGACAACTCAGAAGTGTGCAGGTGCCTTGCCAACTAGTGGAGCCTGCCTGCAAAGCAGCTGGGGATTCTGCACAGCCAGATGTGGTCTCAGGTCCATCTGAAGTGGAGTTTTACCGGGTTGGACACAGCCTGGCACCAGGATTAAGAGCCGTAGCGATCCTAGAGAGAACCAGACCAACATTTACTACCAAGATATCACATCTGTCTCCTACCATGCACATGCCATGTAATTGATGTTGATGAGGGACACCTGGCTTTTGTCACTGGCCACAGTCTCTGCACGAGGAGCAGCTGAGTGGTGCCAGCACTGCCTCAGCTCTCCATGGCCAGGAGGGCAAGTGGGGGTTGGAATCTGCCTGGGATTATACCATGTGAGAGACGCCCAAGGCCTAGAGCTCCCAGGCTATACTTGCAAGGCAGGGGCTGGGGCCCTGGGCCATGTCCTGAGCTCTCCATGGAGTGTGTGTGAGGGGAGCACCGAGAGATCTGTCTGAAGTCCCTGCTCATCCAGCAGAGGTTCAATCTCTGCCTCTGCTTTTTCACTTATAAATGGGGACAATTCTTAAATACAGGAAGGGCACACCCACAAAACAGGGATATTACTTGCCAGGGCACTGGTGCCAACAGGACTTGAAGAAATGCCTAGAGGAGGGAGGAGGGAGGAGGGAAGAGGGAGAAGGGAGGAGGGAAGAGATGCCCAGTCTCTACAGTGTTAGGTTTTCTCCTCCCTCACACTCTCATCAAGGCCACAGCGGGTCAGTCTGCAGACTAGAAGCCTCCATGGACCATAAGTGGCAATGTGAACTCAGTCAACTCCTCAGGATCACACTCCATCTTAATAGACTGCTTCTGAAATGACTTTACATAACCAAGAAGATTCCAGAAGCAAGCTGTTCACACAATCTGAGATGGCCTCCCTGTCATAAACGGGACCCCCCTTCGCCTTCTTGTATATGAACTGAATTAAGTCTAACACAGAAAGACAAGTATTTCTGTAGATACATGAAGGATGTATGTGTGTACAGTGTCAAGCAGAAGAGAGACTGTCTAGGGCACTAAGGGGGTGGAGTGAAGGGTAGAGATGTGGAGAAGATATGCATCAAGTCCGATCTATACATTATGAAGTGTCCTTCGGTGACCAGGGCCATACACAATGAGTATACACTAATAAATAAAGCTCAGAGGTCACAGTGCAGTGCTGTGAGCAAGCAGATTAGATATGCATATTTCTACTCCATAGAAAATGGCTTCTGGAGAATTCCAGAGAGCTGCCTAAAATATACCACTGAGAAAAAAGAGAACATACACACAACATAATTCCCTCCTTGTTTAAAAATATATGCAGCCAGGAATAGTGGTGTACACCTTGAATTCCAGTACCTAGGAGGACAAAGAGTGCTGTGAGATCTGGGTTAGCCTGGTACAAAGCCAGTTCCAAGCCAGCTAGGATACATAGTGAGACCCTGTTTCAAAACAAAATGCTGGGTGTGGTGCCACAGGCCTTTAATCACAGCACTCAGGAGGCAGAGGCAGGGGACTCTCTCTATAGTAAGCTGCAGGCCAGCCAAGACTACACAGAGAGACCCTGACTCAAAAAAAGAAAGACAAACAGAAGTAAAACAAGACACAGCAGAACACTACAGGGGTACCCCAGAACAAAGAGATGGTGGGTGGTTTCTACATCTTCTGTGGAGCTGGGAGATGGCTCAGTGGTTTAGAGCACTTGTTGCTCTTGCAGGAGACCTGGGTTCGATTCCCAGCACCCACATGGCAGCTCACAACCACCTGTCACTACAGTTCTGGGGACTTAATCCCTTCTGTGAGGCCAGGCATACATACATATGTACACACATGCAGGCAAAAACATTCATATCTATAAAGTAAAATAAAATAATCTAAATTTTTTAAAAAAGAATTCTCCATTCTAAACTCATATGTGGGGAAATACATGAACCCCAGTAGGAACTTAGGAAACACTGTCCTCAGACGGGGTCTCAGCCCAGACAAGCCTTGAACTCAAGATCTTCCAGCCTCAGCCCGCAGTGGCTGAGATTACAGACAGCGTCACAGAATACTTCACCGCTCTAGGCTTTCCTGATGCCTGGACCGTCCTGCAGCACAGGCCCCAGCTCCCAGCAGCAGCTCCAGGCCCCCAGGAGCCCCAGCATTGTCTCACTCACCTGAATGGATGTCATGACCCCATTGGCAAAGACGGAGAGTTTTCCAGCAACAGAGCGCACACCTTGCTTGAACTGCGCCATATCCGGGGCATTGGGCAGCACGTTCGAGAAGTTGTAGTTTCCTGCACACAGAGAGATGCCAGCTTGTCCCTCTTCTAGGGACGTGCACAGCTCAGTGAACCCACCCTGCTCCCTCCCCTCCTTCCAGGCATCAGTTGTGTCCAGAGAGAGGGACCCTGCAGTAGGGCATGGCTCAGTGGGAAGTACTGGTCCCAACACACAGTCCTTCAGCCACCACAGTAAGGGGGACAAGGTACTATGTCCCGTGCCTCTCAAGGCTCAAACTGGACTGTGCTGGGCAGCAGGCAGGGTCCATTCATTCTCTATACATCCGCTCCTTCATAAACCAGATACGTGGAAAGGGCTCTGTCGGGTGCCAAGGGATGGGTCCTCCCATGAAAGAACTGTCGTGGTCTGGTCACCGGGTGCCACACCCCTGATGTGAGTGAGGCACAAGCATGTACAGGCCTGAGGTGTGCTCACAGGCTCAGGGCAGCTGGGGGAGGGAGAGCCAGGTCACGGGAGCCAGGCTGAAAGCTGGTGACTGGGTACAAGGACAGGACATCATCCCAAGGACAGGGATCTAGCACATGAAGAACTAGCAGAGGAGAGTAGGGCAGCCAAGATGAGGGAAGGACAGAGAACAAACAAACAGAAAGGCCTGGACCATGGGAGGGGCTGCAGACAAGGAGCCAGGGGGACACCCAGCACTCAGGGCTGTCCTCTTCTTCTTCCAGGGGAGACATGGATCTTCTTTAATGAGATATTATGAGCCAAATTATCAGAAATGAGACAAATCAAGAGAAAAGTCTATGACTTTACAAATGGCGAATGTCACAAGGTTCAAACAACCTGCAGCTACTTGTCTGAGACAGGCTCTGCAGCCTGCAATGTGCTGACATCAGAGGCCAGGGAGTGAGCTAGAATCTGGGTCTCAGGGTGCTGCCACCTAAGGATGTAGGTAAGAAGTTTGCAGGCAAAGGCCTGAGAACACACTGAGCCTGAAGTTGCAGGCCTGCATGCCCACAGCGGCTGCACGCCTGGCCCCTGAGCCAACTTTACATGGAAGCAGCTCAGCAAGAGGGTGGCTCAGGATGTGGGGCCATAGGCTACGTTACGCTGGAACAATCTGTCCTTGAAAGAGACATGGGGGGTGGCTCTGTGGATAAAGTACTCATCAAGTGTGAAAACGAGCTCAGATCATAGGGCAGAACAGGCGTGCCATCCCACCTGTAATTCCAGACTGAAGGGAGGAGACTGCAGATTTCCCAGAGCAACCTTCGAGTTAGACTAGTCCAATCTGTGAGCTCTGGGTTCAATTAAGAGACCTGCCTCAAAGAACAGGTGGAGAGTGAAGGAGGAAGATTCCCACCAGTCTCTGCATGCACATATGCATGCACGTGTGCACACACGCATACACAACACACTCTTACATGCTAAAAGCACCAAGGGATAAGCAAGAAAGTGGGAAACAACCTTTCTCTAACATGGCTGTCACACTTTCTCCCTCTGCCGTCTGGGGCCCTGAGCACCCCATCCTTCCCACACAGGGCCCAGTCCACAGCTCACACGCTCCCTGGCCCTGCTGTGCTGGTGTTTTTGGTGCTCACCATGCTCCTCACTCCGTCTTTCAACCTTCTCTAGTGGGGAGCAGCCCTGAGTACCACGCACGATGTCTAATCACACCCCATAAAGCATCTACTTTCCAGGAAGCACATTCATGGACCAAGAACCCCAGACTGCTTGATCTGACCCCTGCTAGTGATGAGTGATGAGGCCACAGACCTGCTTTCAACACTAGTGTAGGCCCTTTGCTGAAGTGCATGCCAAATAAGGAGTCCTCGGCAGGCAGATCTCTGAGTTCGAGGCCAGCCTGGTCTACAGAATGAGTTCTAGGATGGCAATGGGCAGTCCTCTGTAAAGCCATCCAGCAGCTCAGGGTGGTGGCTCCTGATGTCCCAGGGGGAGCAGGGGTGGGGTTACAGATAGGCAGCCACAACAGTCCCAGCTATCTGGGGTCAGTGGAGGGGCAAGCTCTGCTCAAGGCCGACTATCAGCCAGTCAGGGGATGGCCTGGTACTCCAGGGAGTACCTCACAAAACCCCGAGTTACTATGGACCCAGTATCAGAGTTCAGTGGACCTTTGTTCTGTGGTGGGGGCAAGAGGAAGTCTGAGCTGGCCAGAGCTCTGGAACAACTCGCAGGGCAGAAGGGTGTGTTCGCTTCAAAGAGCTCTCCTCTGCTTTCTTTTCTTCTTGTTTTGTTTTGTTTTTTAACAATAATGCTTTGGAGTAAATGTTCCAGGAAATTAATTAGAAAAGCATTCAGAGACGTCAACAGCCTTGGCCTTGGGACGGACCTGCCTGACTGGCTCCAGCACTGCCAGGGCAGACACTCTGCTGGGAGACCTTGAGGAGGCTGAGTGCCTTTATAGCAGGGTCACATCACAGAGGAAGCAGGCCTGACAGAAGGCTAGGATGTGAGGGTCACACTGAAGCCAGGAGTCAGGGCTGCTCTAGCTCTCTAGAGCAGTGACTAACCAAGAACCACAGCCCTGGCCCAGCCCTGTCAGGCATCAGAGCAGCCAGCTGGCCCCATCTCTCTCTCTGAACACTGTTGCCTACCTGCCAGCCACTCTGCCAAAACACGCCAGCCTAGAACGGTTCTCCTGGCTTCAGCCCAGGAAGCTGGCAGTGCTGCTGTATCTAAGGCCCAAACCTCCACACAGAAAGTTCCAGACAGTTGAGATTACCCTATTCCTCCTCCGTGGAAGCTACATCCAATCCAAATGTTTGAGAGGGGGTGTGGCCGTCAGGATGGTTACCCTACACAAACACTCAGGCCTGTACACCAAAGCCAGTCTGGTTGTGAAGTGTGCAAACCAGCATACAGAGAGTATTCAGCCTGCAACGCTGGCTCCTGAGGCCTCTTCCTCTTGTTTTTTTTTCCTGAAATGACCTCAGAGGTTGCTGCCATTTCACGATCACCCTGTGGCCTGGTGGGCTGTGTGGGGTGTTCCTGCAGGCCTTGCGGGGTAGGGAGCACACAGGTAAATGCAGAAGGCACAGCTCTGTGTGGGCAGTAAGGGCCTACTCTGAGCTCATGGTTGGACTGCAGCCCTGGGATGACCAGACGCCTTGTGCAGAGGTGTAGGAAGGCAGTGGGGTCAGGCACTCCCTCTCTCACCTGCCCATGTCCATGCTGCGTTATGTCTTTCTTGGAGAGCTACTCGCTCCTTCCCTCCTGTGCATCCTGAGGGCTGAGGGCCTGTGAGGTGACTCCTGGGACTCACTCCAGGGACTGACACCTTACAGTGTCTCATGTTAACCACCCCACAGGAAGGAGACAGCGGCTAACTAGCCAGTGGCTGGCATCTCACAGGTCACCAGAACCCCCAGCCTCCTCTATGAACAATGTTCTCCATACTAAGTTGCCAGATGACAGGGGTGCTGTTGTATAAATGGCATGACTTGGTCTCAGGGGACACCTCAGCTCGAATTGCTCACATAGGGACAAGGCAGAAGGTGCAGGAGCATGGAATCTTGGGAAGGGAAAGGTCCCATGGGGACACACGTGCTGGGGCTGTGGAAGCCCTGGAGCCCAGGGAGCCCCTCACCTGCGGTCTGCTTCCTCTGCTCATCAAAAAGGTCTGCAGAGCTTATGGAGGAGCTGGTGGAGAGCCTCTCCAGCCGCGCCCGGGTTTCAAACTAGACAGGAAAAAGAGGCAGAGTCAGACTCCAAGAACTGCTGAAGAGACGGGAGTGGGTCTGTTCCCTTGGCTCTCTGCCTCCCATGTCACCCCAAGTCAAGGCCTGGAGCTGGGTGTCTTTTGCAATGATTGTGGGTGGGGCAGCATCCCACATCACTGCCAGTGTGATCAGTATGGGGTAGCCAGAGCTCTGCTCTCAGCCAATCCTTAGAAATGCCCACACCCACTTAGCACATCAATTTGTATGGCTTCAAGGGTGTGTGAAACTGGGGTTGGAACCCTGGGCTTTGAGTATATTAAGCAAGTGCTCTTCTAAGAGCTGCCCTTCAGCTCATGGATTTTAACGTAAGCATTGGAGGGGTCCTTTGGCAATGAAGCCTCTGTTCTGAGACAAACCAGCACCCTCAGGGTCAGAGTTCAGCTCCCCACCCCCACGCCCACCCCCTACATTTGAGCACGAGGAGGAAAAAGGAAAAGGGCTTAGCTTCACCAGACTCCTGGGTTAATGTGTTTGTTTCTGAGACAGGGGACAGCTGGGTAATGCAGCATCTGCCCACAAATATATCCAGGCTTCATTTAACCATCATTAAACTGATTAAAAGCAATTGCTGCTACATAAAAATCTCCTAAATTAACTCAAAAGCTACTGGCTGATGCTGTTCTCCCTAGAGAGGCAGGACAGCAATGAGACCAGATCCCTGACTCCTCAGTGTCTCAGGTGCCTCAGGCAGGCCTGGGCTCCAGCACTGTTGTCTGGGAGTGTCTGGCTAGGTCCCTTCTCTCTCAGCAGCCTGGCCCCACATGGTCCCCACAGCTAAGCTTCCTTCCTGGTTCTCAGGGGTCCTGTAGGAGCCTTCTGCACCCTTACATCTGTCTGGGCTTGTATTCCAAAGTACATGTCCGAGGAAATGGCCTTTACGTTGCCGAACTTCTTCTGGGCTTCATCTGTATTGCCAACGGGTTCATATTCTGGCTTCCGGCGAGCACTGGGCCTACAGTGAAAAACACCAAGCTGTGGTGAGGCTAGCTCAGTTCACGTTTTCACTTGTATGGAGCCTTGCATCTCAGCTGTGTTAGAAAACACCCACTACGCTGTGTGAGCACGCAAGGACAACACTGTCCATCACTCAGCGTGTAAACTGCATGGGCTAACAGGACATCCCAGTTATGAGGTGACCTCAGGTTACATGTGTAAAGTCCCTTGTGTGACAATAAATGATGGCCTCCTGTCATCAACTGTAGCGGAAGCTCTTCAACAGGTGAGCCATGGAGGCCACCCCAACCAGAGTCTCTACAGTCAGGGGACAGAGCTCAGAGCCATGGGCAAAGGCAATTACTGGATGACCAGTCCACACAGCATCTTCCTGTATGGGAAGATCAAAAAACAAACTGGCAGGGGCCTGCGGCTAAAGAACAAGAACAAGGAACTTAGGGTTGACAGAGTGTCCTATGCCTTGCTCTTGATGGTCATTACATGGCCATGTGTTAGTCAAAATTATGAGAACTGCATCAGTTCTGATGTGGTAGCATGAACTGTAATCTGAGGCAGAGGCAGGAAGATGTCAATATTGTGGCTAGCCTGGGCAACTCAGTGAAACATTGCCTCCAAATAAAACAAAATTAAATTGAAAGGGATACAGACGTAGTTCAGTACAGTGTGCTTGCCAAGGATGCTTCAGGTACCGGGTTTAATCTCCAGCGCCACACACTCTGTCCCATAGATATCAGCCCCTCACACATATATGTGCCACACTCCCTCCCCCCACACACACACATATTCCAAGCACCACACATACATATGCAGGTATACACATCCCCACACATACATCACCAGGACCACACACACAGACAGAACTCCTCACCCCACACATGTCTATATACATATAGACCCAGATTCACAGACCAAATGGCCGAACTATTTCCTAGGAAAAGGGGACTCTTACAGTTTGCAAACAGCCTTCAAATGGGGTTAGGCGACTCATCCCGGAGGCAGGCCATGACCCACGGACTGAGAATCCCTGGGAACTGGCCCTCACGCCCGCTTTCTAACTGCCACAGGTGTTTCTGACATGTGTTCCCAAAGCACAACAACTTCCTAAAGGAGCACAGGACACACATGACACAGGTATCGCCCACTGGTCCTATGACTGAGGTACCCGGCTCCCCAGCCTGCAGCTCCCACCTGTCTGAAGAGCCTGTGCTTTTCATTCCAGGCTCAGGGTCTCTGCTGCTGTCTTTCTTCCAGTAGGAATCGGCACCATCATCCCAGCTCGAAAAGGAGCTGCTTCTTAACTCCATGGGGTCGTCAAAGTACCTGCTGGAAAGGGGGGGATAGAGACAGGGAGTACTTATGGATGCTGTCCTATCTGGCCCTCTTGCTTATGGGTATGGGAGACCTAACTTCCCTGTCCAGTCATGTGCTGAAGGGCAGCTGAGACAGACAACACTAGGTTGGCCAATGAACAAGAGCTGACATGGGGCATTCCTTTTAAGGTCTTCCGGGTTGCACCCAACCACACTGAGGGCTTCAGGGAAGAGGTGTAGCCTTTCCAATGCTGCAGCCTCAGGCTGCTGAGACTTCCATCCCCCTGGACAGTTGTGATGCCCTACAGCATGTCTGAGAACAGGTTGGGTGGTCCCTCAGATAGGTAGGAGCCGAGATATTCAGGTTTTTGTCAACAGTGAAACTCTAGGGCTTAGTGTTGAGGAGATCAGTACCATCCTAGGGCAGGAACGTTCTTCATCTACCTGAGTGAAAAAACATATCTGGACTGGAGAGCACTGGGGTACCTTTAAATTGCAAAAGAAGGTGCCACCTGCATAGGTGCTCTGAGCAGTCCCCACATGGGGCTTCCCTACTCCTCACTCACTCACAAGGGACTCCCGCTCTGGTCCCCTGTGGGGGATACCCAGTCTGCCCAGGCATCAGTCTCCTCAGGACTCAGCAGCTCTCCTCATCACTGGCCTTCACCCAGCATGGGCTTTGATTTCTGGGCCCTACTTCCTCAGGAGCGTTTCCTTCATGCTGGTCCTGACACTCTACCTTCCTCCCCTTTCAACACACTCCTGCAGTTCCTGTCAAAACCCCTAACAGCACACTGTCCTGCCTCAGTCACATCCCCCACCAGAGCCATTTGGACTCTGTGGGGCTCAGCAGAGCAGTTCCTTTCATTATTCTGAATGCATTCTAGAATAAAGCATCATGGACAGTCTGGAAATAATGGAACTCACTACAAACACCATGCCAGGACACATCCCCCTTGCTTAATAGAAACTCTTCCATAATTCACAATATGCAAGTTCTAATGGCTGATGAATAATTTGGAAGCAGTGAAAGCACTCTGTGGCACTGACATGCTGGCTTTCAGAGTGTGTTCACTTCACCTCTGGTGCCAAAGCACCTCATTCAGCCCTGCTATGTCACTGTGGTCATCAAGGAAACTAGAGGATGATTCTGTCCCTAGACAACCCGCAGCTCACCAGCCACACACCACACCAAAATCTCTCTGTTCTACACATAAACACCATTTACCCCCAGGTTTCAAACTGAAATTAGTCTCTGGCACAGCGGCCTTTGTGCCTGACCCTTCTGATTGAGCCAAGGACGAGAGAGGTTTCTGGAGGCTGCAAGGCATATATAAAGGTTGATCCTGAACACAGACAGGATCATGTTCTAGGGGCCCTGCGCAGGGCGTCAGTCCAGTGCCCTTCAGCCCAGCTCACCACCCACACAGCATCACAGTTTCTCTGTTCTACATCTACATTTGCCCCCAGGTTTCAGACTGGTCCCTGGCACAGAGGCCTTTAAGCCTTTGGGATTGACTCTCTTGATTGAGTCAAGGAGTTTCTGAAGGCTCGAAGGCCCCACATGGGTTCCTCCATGACCTGAGGCTCTGGGGATGGGAAATGTCCACTCAGCAGGAGACCTTATCCAAAACCCTTTCTCTCACTCTGCTATCTGAGCACAGGACTGGCTCTCCATGAACATGACTCTGCCTCTTTCTACACCACCCTCCATGAGCATTATTAAGGAGGAGGGAAGTCACCAACAGGTGGGGAGGGGCAAGGTTCCTCAGCCCCCAGTCCAGCCCTCATAAAAAGCAAATGTGAAAGGGTCTGATGTGTGATTTCCGATCACAAACTTGAATTTCTCCTGTGTGAGATATATTTCATCATGTATGCTGCGGAAGTATACGCAGGTTGGAGAGGGGCAGGCAGCCTCTGGCTAGGCCCACAAGGAGCCATGGGCTGGCCAGGTCCCTTTCTAAACTACTGAGACTCAATACCTTGGAGCTGTGCATAACGACAAGGAAAGAGCTGTCTGCACAGTGCCGTTCCTAGGAGCCTGGATAGGAAAGTCAACACTTCCACAGCTGATTACAGATAACATAACCTACGACAGCTCTACCTACGAAATCCATGTCTGCTGGCCTGGTGACACCAGGATGACTGTGTGACTGTGGCAGTGCCATCACCGATAGATGTGTCCCATCCTCACCAACTCTGGGTGTGAAAGGGTCCTGGGCATGGCTAGTGCAGCTGCCCAGCTGGCCAGTCACGGAGCCACATGTCCGGCTGAGTTCATAGGCTATAGGGGACGCTGGACAGCAGAGCCATGTGCTCTGTAGTGCCTCAGCTCTCCCTATGGATCCTGCAAGGTAGGCCCCGCCCGGATCCTTCAGCTGGACAAGGAAGCTGTGGCATGGAGCACTTTAATAACCCAGTCATTGCCATGTGTGGTCGTCATGTGGCACAGCCAGCATTCAACCTGGACTCCAGCTTTCTGTACCTACTTATTATGTCAAAACTATCCCAACTTCCTGTCAAGTCAGCTTCTGGGTGACTCTGACAACACGACTCTATTCAAGATGACACTTGTCCTCAACCACAACCAGCCTTGTGCCAGTCACAGGTTTTACCCCAGCCGACAGTAGACACAGAAGCTCAGGACCTGGCTGTCCTAGTACCATGGGTTCCCCTCAGGGAACAGTCATGGCGTTCATGAATAGATTCATATACAAATAATACTATTCATACTGGATTTGCTGGCAGCTTCCAGAAGCCAGTGTTCTGCCATAGAAGCTGTTGAAGGTCTGTCTGGGCATGCTCCAGCCTCTCCACTTCTCACAGCACACAGTACATCTCACCTACCTCTAATTTTAACCCTCAGTTTTTAACTGTATCAACAGACATTTTTCCTCGCTGTAAGCACAGCTCCTTACACTGTCTTCCCAGCCTTTGTCCTGCACACAGACGCTCGTCAGCCAGAGCTCTCAGATGGGGCCAGGCACTGGTTTGCAATGGCTCCTAAGGCCGATTCCTAACACGCCCATACCTGCTGCTCTGTTCAGACCACTTGGAGCTAGAGCTGAAGTACGAGTCCTCTGGGTCCTCCTGGTACTTCCTCCTTGGCTTTGCCAGTGTAGGTGACTCCTGCTCAATGGTCTGCATGTCTGAAGTCACGGAATGGGAGATGCCACTTGAAAGGACAGAATAAAACAGGAAATATTATATCACTGGCTTCCTAAAGGCTTCCGTCTTACCAAACAAAAGGATCTTTTGAGGCATACTCTGAACAAACACAAGGTGATCAGGATGGGTGGGAACCCTGTCTGAGCTTTGGAAACTGGAAGGCATTGTAAGGGCTGGACTGCCAGGAAGACAGCCACATGCAAAGGGTGTGCCCGAGGCATCCACTCCAGTGCAGTGCACACTTCATGGAAACTCACACCTATTTCCTTCTCTCCAAGAACCATGTGTGCCATTTGTCATCACACACACACACACACACACACACACACACAACGTACAGACATACTGTTTCATATAATCCTGTCTCATATAGCCTAGGTTAGTCTTGCTATATAGCCCAGGCTGGCCTTAAAAGTTCCTGATTCTCCTGCCTCTACCTCCTGAGAGCTAGGATTTCAGGTACACGCCACTAAGAGTCAACCAACTATGCCCTATTGGTTAGTTGTTTTGAGGCAAACAAAAACACTTGGAGCACAGACTGGGCCTGAGTGGATCCCCAACCTTGATTTCTAGCCCAGGGTCTTGTGCATACTTCATCCACGCAGGGCCAGCCTTCTCCATATTGCTCTAAATACCACAGCAAAGCAGCAGGCGAGGAAGCACAGAGTACTGAGGAAGCTAGTTCCTGGCCTAGCCTTCACAGTGAGCAGACAGCCCTGGGCTACCTGGAGCCCAGCAGACCCTACCTCCTGCAGCTTCCAAAGCCCATGCCCAGCCGCTCGGCTTCCACCTTCTTCTGGCCGCTCAGGTTCAATCTTTCATCATCCTTCTTCCTGTGAATTTCCAGGTCCTTGTAGGCCAATCGCAAGGACGAAACGCTGCTGGGAAAAGCACACTTCTCCTTAGTCGGCTTTAAAACCTCGACCTTGCATTCAAATCCCAGGCAGTCCAGAGACTGTAGCTCCTGCTTCTGCTTCAGACAATGGCTTGGAGTCTCTCAAACACAAGTTCAGTTCTTTTTGGCTGTTCTTCTGATTGTCTGGTACCATGGTGCACACCTCAATTACTTCCCCACAGGGTCCTCCCTCTGCCTGACATGGGATGACACTTCCCTGGGACACAGTAGTACAGGAGGTTAGTCCTACTTATACTTGTTGAGACCCAGGCGATCTGACGCCCTTTGATGACCGTGGAAGGCACCTGCATGAACATGCAGACTCCCACATACAGACAGACAGCATACCCTCAATTAATTCTTTTTAATTACAAAAAAGAAAATATATCTAAAATTGATTTCATACATATATAAATCATTAGCTGTATTTCAAATAATTTTCTGTAGGTCTCTTTATTTTATTTTATTTTATTTATTTATTTATTTTTGTTTTTCGAGACAGGGTTTCTCTGTGTAGCCCTGGCTGTCCTGGAACTCACTCTGTAGACCAGGCTAGCCTTGAACACTCGAACTCAGAAATCAGCCTGTCTCTGCCTCCCAAGTGCTGGGATTAAAGGCGTGCGCCACCACCACCCGGCATGTAGGTCTCTTTCTATATCATGCTTCTGAGAACATTTAAATGGATAGTCATTACCTATCCAGTCAAGTTCTTTAACTTTAAAACCATTTATTATGCTGGGCATGGTAGCACACACCTTTAATCCCAGCACTCAGGAGGCAGATCTCTTGAGTGTGAGGCCAGCCTGGTCTACAGAGTGAGTTCTTGGACAGCTAGGGCTACATAGAAAAACCCAGCCATTGTATTATTATTGATTATTGATTACTGTGTGCACACATGTTCTCTCTCTCTCTCTCTCTCTCTCTCTTTCTCTCTCTCTCTCTCTGTAGATCAGAGGACAACTTGTGGAGTCAACTCTCTCCTTTTACTGGTTCTGGGGATTGAATTCAGGTTACCAGTTTGCACAGGGAGCTGTGGTTTTTAATCAGGTAGGTGTGATCTGATGGTTGAAGCTGGCCCACCAGCCTGCAATGCTGTCAGGGCTGCCAGTTGTATTATTATTTGGAAGGTGTGTGCACACTGTCCTTGCTCCCAGGCTAACTAACCTCATAAAGAAAGCTCTGCCTCCAGCAGTAGGAACAGCGATGTGCAGGAAGACAGTGATTCTCAGTGCCATGAGAAGTGACAACGCGCCTACCACCTGCTTCCTAAAGCCCTGGACAGTGCCAGGAACACCCCCCCCCCCCCCCCCCCCAGCAGCCCCTGCGAGAACCCTAGGCGAAGGGGACTCCTGGGCTGTGTCAGGGAAGGCAGAGGAAGTCTTACTAGGAAACTCTACACCTGGTTTTGCTCTTTCCTTCTTGTAACAAGACACGGGATTTCTTGGGTTGGCTCTGACCCGGCAGGTGTCTTTTTTCTTTAACTTTCTTAGTATCGTTTTCCTTAGCAAACCAATGGTAAAACATCAGGTGTCTTTAAGGTCACTACCTGATCAAACTGCAGCCCCAGACCCTCTGGAGATGACAAAAAAGCTATGAAGACCACGGTGAGGTCCTCTTAGCACTCCCGACCCAGGACTGTCCTGGCTTCAAGCATCTTTTCTCCTCTCAGCTAGGGTTGAGCTGTCGGATGCTCAGAAGCAGGCAGTGTTAGCCAGCCAGGATGAAGCACTGCCAGAGCCACTAGCTCCACAGTGCAACAGCGCAGGACATGCTGCCCGCTCTCCACTGACTCAACTGTAACTAGTCCCTATCAACGGAAACACCAGCTTCCAGACAGCACCCTCACTTTTCCAGAGGTGTGAGACAGGTCTGTACAGCAGTGTTGGCAGTCAATCACAGGATGTCCTGGAGAAAGGCAACAAAGTTGCCAAATTGGGTTCCCAAGTAAATCACTCTTTCCCTCCCCACCACACACCTCTGCCCAGAGGCTTCCACTGTGGCTGGCAAAGCCTCCACCCACAAGCCAAGCCCACATCAATGTGTTTTTGACCAATCCTAAGGACAGACACATGGAAGGTGGGTGTGGCAGCATCGTGTGCTACTCTCCCTGGGTCCTGGCTTCCCAACTACCTGACCACACAATGGAGGGCGTGGGCGCTTCTCAAAGCTCTTGTCAGCACCAGGCTTCTGACTTTACCTCAAGCCCCAGCAGCACAGGCTCCCCAACAGCCAAGCTAACCTGCCTCTGCCCAGGTCAGAAACCAATGAAAAGAGAGAAATTCAAGTCAACTCTCCGTTCCTGTGATAGAGAAAGTCTGTCTACACAGGTTAGTGCTGCCCCTGCTATTCTGAGAGCCGAACAGGGAAATAACAACTTCGAACCATCTGGGCTTACCCTCTAAGTTTCACTCAGCAAACCATCATCAGACTAATGAGAACAAGTTACACTGGCCAAGCACCTACTGTGTGCTGGTCACACTGATTGAATTCCTACTGTGCTCCAGGTACTGTTATCAGAATTTCAGTAAATGTCATCTAAGCTGTACCTTGAAAGAACCTCACAAAATAGGGTTATTTCTCTCATTATACAGTGGACTACAATTCCCACTAAAGCAGACAAAAAACACATGAAGACAAGAGACCCTCAGAAGACAATCCACAAGGAAACAAGACTACATGGAAGACAGTCTACAAAGAAACAAGATTCCACAGGAGACAATCCACACAGAAACAGGACACCACAGAAGCCAGTCGATAGAACACCACAGAAAACAGTCCACACAGAAACAAAACATCACAGGAGACAGACCACACAGAATCAAGCACCACAGAAGATAGTTCACACAGAAAAAGGACATCATCAAAGATGGTCTACACAGGACCAAGACTCCACAGAGGACAGTCCACACAGAACCAAGACTCTAAGGAGGACAGTCCATACAGACCATACAGAAACAAACACTACAGAAGACAGTCCATAAAAAACCAAGACTCCATAGGAGACAATCCACACAACAGGACATCACAGGAGGCAGTCCATATAAATGCAGGACTCTACAGAAGATATTCCACACAGAAACAATCACTACAAAAGAAAGTCCACATAGAAACAGGATATCACAGAAGTCAGCCCACACAGAAACAGAACATTTCAGGAGACAGTCCACACAGAAACAAGCAACACAGAAGACAGTTCATGCAGAAACAAGACTTCACAGAGGACACGCCACACAGAAACAAAACATCACGGGATACAGTCCACACAGAAACAAGCAGCAGAGAAGACATTCCATACAGAAACAAGACAGTCTACATAAAACCAAGACTCCATCGAAGATACTCCACACAGAAACAATCACCACAGAAGACAGTCCCCACAAACACAAGACATCACAGAAGACAGTCCACACAGAAAGATGACTCCACAAGAGACAGTCCACACAGAAACAAAATTTCACAGGAGATATTCCACACAACAAGACTCCATGGAAGGCAGTCCACACAACAAGAAGACTCCATGGAAGACAGTCCACACAAAAGCAAGACTCCATGGAAGTCAGTCCACACAGAAATAAGATTTTATAGGAAACCGCCCACACAGAAACAAGACTCCAGGAAAGGCAGTCCACACAGAAACAGAATATCACAGGAGACAATCCACACTGACACAACAAGCACAGAAGACAGTCTATACAGAAACAAGACTCCACAGAAGAGAGTCTACATTAAACCAAGACTCTATAGAAGATACTCCACACAGAAACAATCACAGAAGACAGTCCCCACAAAAACAGGACATCACAGCAGATGGTCCACACAGAAAGAAGATTCCACAGACACTAGTCCACACAGAAATAAGATTCCACAGAAGATAGTCCACACAGAAACAAAACCTCACAGAAGACAGTCCACACAAAAACAAGACTCCAAAGAAAACAGTTCACATAAAAATGAGACTCCATGGAAGACAGTCTACATAGAAACAAGACTCCACAAGAGACAGACTTCACAGAAACAAGACTCCATGAAAGACAGTCCATATAAAAACAAGACTCCACAGAAGATAGTCTACACAGAAACAAAACATCACAGAAAACAGCCCACACAGAAACAAAGCTCCAGAGAAGACAGTCCACAGAGGAACAAAACATCACAGGAGACAATCTACGCTGACTCAAGCAGCACAGAAGAAGACAACCTATACAGAAACAAGACTCCACAGAAGAGAGTCCATGTAAAACCAAGACTCTATAGAAGATACTCCACACAGAAACAATCACCACAGAAGATAGTCCCCACAAAAATAGAACATCACAGAAGACAGTACACACAGAAAGAAGACTCCACAGGAGCTAGTCCACATAGAAATAAGACTCCACAGAAGACAGTACACACAGAAACAAGACTCCATGGGAGATGGTCTACACAGAAACAATTACCACAGAAATTAGTCCACACAGAAACAGACCACCACAGAAAACAGTCCACACAGACAAAGGACATCACAGAAGACAGTCCCTACAGACAAAAGACATCACAGAAGACAGCCCACACAAAACCAGAACATCACAGAAGGTGGTCCTCAAAGAAAGAAGACTCTACAGGAGGCAGTCCATATAGAAATGAGACACCACAGAAAAGAGTCCACACAGAAACAAGACTCCAGGGAAGACAGTCCACACAAAAACGGGACTCCACAAAAGACATTTCACACGGAAACAAGACTTCATGGAAGATAGTCTATACAAAAACAAGACTCTATGGAAGACAGTCTACACAGAAACACAACTCTTCAGAAGACAGTCTACATAGAAACAAGACTCCAGGGAAGACAGTCCACATAGAAACAAGACTCCATGGAAGACAGTCTACACAAGAAACAAGACTCTTCAGAAGACAGTCTATACAGAAGCAAGACTCCAGGGAAGACAGTCCACACAGAAACAAGACTCCATGGAAGACAGTCTACACAGAAACAGGACTCCAACAGTCTACACAGAAACAAGACTCCATGGAAGACAGTCTACACACAAGCAAGACTCCATGGAAGACAGTCTACACAGAAACAAGACTCTTCAGAAGACAATCTACACAGAAACAGGATTCCAGGGAAGACAGTCCGCACGGAAACAAGACTCCAAGGAAAACAGTCTACACAGAAACAAGATTCCATGGAACATAGCCTACACACAAGCAAGACTCCATGGAAGACAGTTCACACAGAAACAAGATTCCATGGAAGACAGTCTACACAGAAACAAGATTCCATGGAAGACAGTCTACACACAAGCAAGACTCCATGGAAGACAGTCTAAGTCTACACAGAAACAAGACTCCAGGGAAGGCAGTCCACACAGAAACAAGACTCCAAGGAAGGCAGTCTACACAGAAAGAAGACTCCACAGGAGACAGACTTTACAGAAAGAAGATCCCACAGAAGACAGTCCACCCAGAAACAAGACTCCAAAGAAGACAGCCCACACAAAAACAAGAGTCTACCGAAGACAGTCCACACAGAAACAAAAGTCTATGGAAGACAGTCTACACAGAGACAGGATTCCATGGGAGATAGTTTACAGAAAAACAGTACACAGAAGATGGTCTAGTGCAGCTCCCTGGACTGATGGGGAAGAGGTTGCTGAGTGTGACAGCTTGAGTTGACCCCTGGGTCCCACATGACAGACAGAAAATCTGCTCCTGCATGTCCTTTGACCTACTCCACTCATGCAGTGACTTTAAGTATGTGTGTGTATACGCACATACAAATAAATAAATTTTTAAAAAGCAAGCAAACAAACAAAAAACCCCACAGGGCCCTGCTGTCTTTCCCTCTGCTTTGTCAATACCCATCTGCCCCCTCAGCCTCTACCCCTGTGATCTTGTTGGATGTTTCCTGAGGGGAGAATCATACCCTATGCAGTTTTGCATGTGGCTTCTTTGCATAAACTTTCAAAGCACTGACATGTATTCATTCTTTTCATAGCACAATCAAATTGCACTGTGAGGACCCACCAGGTCCTCCGCCACAGGAGGCACATCAGGCTGCTTTTACTCTGCTCATCTGGGCTCATGCTGCAAATGCTCTCCTATACTCTAGGCAAGTGCTCTGCAGCTGAGTCACAGCCTAAGCCTCATTGCTTCCCCATTGCTACCAACACTATTACAGTCACTGTGTGCCACCAGAATTCCTGACAGTCTCTCTGTGTGAGCCCTCCTGCATGCTGTGCCACTAGCCCAGTGGTTCTCAGCCTTCCCAATGCCACAACCTTTCACATAGTTCTTCATGTTATGGTGACCCCCAACTTTAAAATTATTTTGCTACTTTATAACTGTAATTTTGCTACTGTTATGAATTGTAATGGAAGTATCTGTGTCTTCAGATGGTCTTAGGTGAACCCTGTGAAAGGGTTGTTTGATATCCCCAAAGGGGTCATGACAGAAGCCATCTAGGAAAGGCTATGGCAAGTGAGTTTTCTGGAGATGGCCCACCATTTTGCATGACTGCAATGGGTGTGCTCTAGAGGCAAAGTCCCCAGAGTCTTCATCCCAGGACTGCTTCTCACTGCTGGGATGCCTTTGTTGCCACAGTTAGATAGTCTAGGCGTCACACCACACTGTTGGGCAAATTTCCTACAGAGCAGAGCAGCATGGAGACGTACTCTCATGGAGTAATGCTGTGCAGATGAATTGATGATTTCATAATTCCTGATAATGATTTTATAGAATTCCTAAATTGATACAAGTAATCTCAAGTCCCCTATAGAATAAAAGCTACAAATAGAACTCTGTAAACCTTCATGTGTCACAGGCTAATTTCCCTAGGGAAAGAAAACAGGCTTGGGACAAACTTACAGTCAAGGAAAACATTCCTTCTATGTTAGGAATGAGGCCACTAATCTCAATAACTAAAAGTCATAAACTGGGAATGGGCAATTTATTGTAGGTGCAAGGACATAAAATAAAAGATTGATTAGTTTACCTATATAAGACTTCAAAATAATAAGACAAGGCAGACGATTTGTCTCTTGACAAACTGTGCTAACTTATGATATAAAAAGTATTGCTTTAAACTTAGAATGAACTTGTGGAGTTTGTAACTGATAATGAATATTTAGTCAGGTGCTAGTCTCAATGGAAAGACATGTAAACAATTCTGCTGTAACTCCCTAAACCTTATCAACCTATGACATGAACGATTGCTTTAAAGTTACTAGGAACTTATGGAATATAAAAGTACATGCGTAGAAACCCATGTACTTGATTATCCTGAGAAGGTATAAAAACAACCACAATAAAGCTGGCAGTGTAGCTCTTTTCCCGCTCCATCCAGTGTGCCTGTGTCTGTGTGTGTGCCTGACTTACCTACTTTCTTTTCTTTCTCTCTGGCTCACTAAGAGTTAAGGAACTCCAAGCTTCTCACCTGGCCAGCTCTCTCCCAAGAGTCAAAAGAGAAAAGAGCCCAAGTAACTAAGTTTCTTTTTCTTAATCCCCTGCAGCTAACTCAGGAGTTAACTGCCTGAAGCCATCAGCTTTTGGCCCCAGAATAGCAAGAGAGAGTTAATGGAGGGGGGTGGAGGAGGCCATCAGCCTCTCTGCACCCCACCTCAGTACCTGACTGTTGGGGGGGCTTCGGCAGAGAACACTGCACTAGCCTGTCTCTTCTGTTGTCTTCTTGGGTAAGAAGTGGCATTTCCCTGACATTGTGTCCCATCTGTTCTTCCTGCGCATGGCTCCCCCCGGGACTACTGCTACTTCCCAGAGCCACCAGTCCTGTCCCTTCCAACCCACATGCCTGTATGACACAAACTCTCATGAAATTACACCCTGGCTGGGCAGTGGTGGCGCACATCTTTAATCCCAGCACTTGGGAGGCAGAGGCAGGCGGATTTCTGAGTTCGAGGCCAGCCTGGTCTACAGAGTGAGTTCCAGGACAGCCAGAAATACACAGAGAAAGCCTGCCTCGAAAAAGTAAAAATAAAAAGAAAGAAAAAAGAAAGAAATTACACCCTGCATAGCACACTCATACTTACCAAAAATTCAAGGTATTTGGAGAACAAACCAAGTCAAGGCATAGACAGCTCTCCTTGCTAAGGTGTGTTAGAGAAAGCAAATGACACTCACATGGACTCCTCCTTAGGGGCACCCCTGGCCAGGTCTTCCTGTTCTTTCCTCTTATCCACAGCCTGAGCTTGCTTTTCAATCTCAGTGAAGGATGTGTTCGTCAGTTTCTGGGCTCCCAAGCTTCCTTTTTTGGCTCCAAGCTGAAAGATACGTAAGATTTGATTCTACCTAGGGCAGTTAGGAGCATTCTGTGTGACCTGCCTGGCCTGTGATAAGCATTTAGTTCTCTCTGCTCTGTGAGAGAGCATCCTTAGCACGCTACAAGGGAGAAAGAATGAGGCACATAGGGTTCGTTGACTCAAGGCCTTAGCCAGGACCACCTAGTGAGGTGTGGCTGGAGTGGGAAAGTGGGGGTGCTCTCACCCCAAGCCCTGCCCGCAGGACTGACACTGCAGCATTGCCTTAATGGAAAGTCATTCATAAAGCGGCCCTCTCTGTTCCTCACATGACACAGATGCCCTTCAGAGTCACACACAGAGGAAAAACAAGGTTAAACATGTTGTACTGGCATAAGCTAGTTGCCAGAGAGGAAAGAGTCTCAGTTGAGGAAATGCCTCCATGAGATCCAGCTGTAAGGCATTTTCTAAATTAGTGATCAACAGGGGAGGGCCCAGCCCTTTGAGGGTGGTGCCACCCCTGGGCTGCCAGTCTTGGAATTCTATAAAAAAGCAGACTGAGCAAGCCATGAAGAGCAAGCCAGTAAGCAGCACCCCTCCATGGCCTCTGCATCAGTTCCTGCCTCTGGGTTCCTGCTCTGTTTGAGTTTCTGCTTGACCTTCTTCAATACAAAGAGAAATATGGAAGTGTGAGCTGAATAACCCTTTTCTCCCCAACTTGCTTTCTGGTCGTGTTGTTTTATTGTGCCAATAGAAACCCTGACTAAGGGCTGGAGAGATGGCCCAGTGGTTAAGAGCACTGATTGCTCTTTCAGAGGTCATGAGTTCAATTCCCAGCAACCACATGGTGTCTTACAACCGTCTGTAATGGGATTCAAATCCCCTCTTATGGTGTGTCTGAAGATAGTGACAGTGTACTCACATACATGAAATAAATAAATATTAAAAAAAATTAGAAACCCTGACTAAGACACATGCATTCTAGAAAATACTAAGTATGGTTTAACTCATCTCATTGAGCATAAAAGCCAGTAATTATATTATGGCTCAAAATAAATGAGAATACTGTTTTGATTAGGGTGACATGGGATCTCAATGTGACAAGGTCTCATTGGGTACCCCTGGCTGCCCCTGACTCCCAAGCACAGGGATCAAAGGTATGAGCCACCACTCTGGCTTATGAAAGTCAGTACTGTGTACAAAGAATATATTCCAGTTTAAAAAAAAAAAAACAGGAGAAAATGGATTTCTAGTTCGGGAGCCAAACTCCTGCATATTTTTACATAATGTGATACTTACTCCTTTTTTTGCTTGATTTGGCTTCTTTTTTATAATGGACGAAACCTCTGCTTAGAAAAAAAAATTCAAGTCAGATATGTAGAAATCATACATGGCTTCTCTGTTCCAGTGAGTGGTATAAATATGCCTTGTTTATTTGTGGTCTAGAAAACTCATGTCTGTATGTTCTCGGGCTGGGGCGTGGTCAGCATCCTGTCAAGGTGTGGTCATGCGGCACCCCAAATCAGAGCAGATTTCTGAACACCACGCTAGGGAATCAGAGCTCCCCAGGAGGTGCTTTTCCACAAGCAGTTTACAAATGCTCTTCTGTGTTCCTGAGGTAAAGGTGCCAAGCCTGATCACTGTCTTTGATCCCACGGGCCCATGTGCTGGACCCCTGCAAGCCGTCCTTGATCTCCACACACACGCCATGATATGTACTCCTCCACAAGGAAATAAAATGCAGTGCAATCGTTTTTAAGAGGAATAATCTCTCCTATTCAATTATATGCATCAAAAACTCCTAAGCATGGCTGCCACCAGGTGAGAAGGGGCCTGAGCCTGGGGTCCTTCCTCTGTGCATGTGACACGACTTGATATCAGCCCTCCAATACTTACTGACCTGCTCAGAAGAAGGGCCATCCTGTTCCTGTGTTCGTTCTCTCTCTCTCTCTCTCTCTCTCTCTCTCATTATATGTGTGGGGGCATCTGCCTGCACGTATACCTGTGCAGCATCTGTGTGCCTGGTACTCACAGGGGCCAGAGGAAGGTATTGGATTGCCTGAGCCCAGGGTTACAGACAATTGTGAGCTCTCTCACTCGGAACTGAAGAGCAGTCAGTGCTCTTCCCCACTGAGCCACGGCTCCAGCCTCTGTTCCTGTGATCTCTTTGGATGCCTTTTCTGTTGCATGCGGCCACAGGAAGCACCATCAGGCCAGCTAAACTCTGTCTAGCTTGGGCTCCAGCTACATTCTGTGATAGTTTCTGGCAGCCTCTGTCATTTGCTCGCAGGTGAAGGCTGCCAGGGGGTAATAGTGAAAGCCTGGCACCCTGCCAGCTTCAACCATCAGATCACACCTACCTGATTAAAAGCCACAGCTCCCTGGCCCCAGTTCGGACAGATTCCATTCCTCTGTGCAGCCTTATCCAGCTGACGAGGTGACTACACTGTGGACAGTGGAGCTCCCAGGGCTGTGCTGCATGTGCCAGGGCATGGCCTGATGTGACAAGCCCCACTCCTGACAAGAACCTTTCTTCTACTCCAATGCCCCAGTGACCAGGTAATAACTGTGCCCTGTCTGTCTTTGATTCTTCCTTTAAAAAAAGATTTTGGTGCTGGGGACTGAACCCAGGGCCTCAGGAATACTAATAAGCAAGTATACTACTGCTGGACTATGTCCATGGTCCTAATTTTCTTTGTGTTTTTGTGGCTAGGGTTAGACCAAAGGGCTTTATGCATGTTAGGCAAGTGCTCTGTCACCAAATTATTAAAACACCTTCTTGCTATCATCTTCATCACTGTCACCATCACCACCACCTCCATCACCATCACCACCACCACCACCATCAACCTCTCTTCCTCCTCCTCCTCCTCCTCCTCCTCCACCACCACCTCCATCTCTACCATCATATTCTCATCCCATCACCGCCACGCCCATCACCACTGCTCTGTGGCACTGGCAGTCAGTGCCTGACTGCAGCGTAGGCAGGAGCTCTACCCACTGCACTGTGAGGCACCAACTCGTTGGCTGGGCTTTGCTTACTGACTCAAGCACAGGCCTTCTCATCAGCCTCTGAGACACAGGAAGCCTCCTGTCATTCAGTAGCTGCCTCTTTTCCGCTAAGACCTTCTTATCAACATTTGTAAAAATTTCACAAAAATACACACTGTGTAGAGTTTCTTTAAATTACCACTTTCTGCATCATTTTCAATCGACAGTTATACATTCTGGTTTTAGAATTATGTTTTAGTGACCTGGAAAGAATAAAATCTTGGGCTGGGGGTAGAGCTCAGTGGTAGAGCCCTTGCCTAGCATACATGAAGCTCTGGTTTCACCACACACACACACACACACACGCACACGCACTTGCACACGCACACACACACACACATCCTTGAGGGCCTCTATGGTGGGGGAAAAAGCATGTAAATCCTCCACTGCAGTCCTGAGGATACACTAGCTCTGAAAGTCAGGTGTGAAGGATGCCCAGGTGTGAAGGACGCCCAGGTGTGAAGGATGCCCACAGGAAACTCTATTTCCATTGCTCTGCTTTAGACTCCTTTTCCATCTGTTTCCCAACTCTGAGGAGTCTGACAGGTGATGAAAATGATCAGAAAGTTTAGTTATTTTTCCATTAATATGGCTACTTTCTTTTTTTTTCTTTTTCCTTTTCTTTTTTTTTTTTTTTTTTTTGAGACATGGTTTCTCTTGTAGCCTTGGCTGTCCTGGAACTCACTCTGTAGACCAGGGTGGCCTCAAACTCAGAAATCCGCCTGCCTCTGCCTCCCAAGTGCAGGGATTAAAGGCATGCGCCACCACCGCCCGGTTATATGGCTACTTTCTAATACATAAAAATGTAATATACATCAATATCTGATTATTATTCCTTAAAAATAAGACACTATCTTTGAAGTTCATAACAAGAGGAAAGTATGGAGCTCCCGATGAAGGGTATGTGGGTCTCTGAGCTTGGCTTAGTGTGGGCATGTTTGTGAAAGAGCCTTTTAAGGAACACGGCCACACTGGCTACATGGAAAGGCAGCTTTGCCTGATAAAACTCATGAATGGGTTCCATCAGAATGTTGGATCCCTCTAAGCACTGAGACATGCACAATCAAAGACGGACCCAGGGCCCTGAGTATACTACCTGGTGCAGCCTTCCCAGGGGTGTTCAGACCTTCCACGCTTGGCCCTTGTCCTGGCCCACCTGAAAGTGTGAAATGCTGATGTTAATGCAGAAAATGACCTTGGCAAATCTCCTTTGAGTACCAGAGACTTCGAGTCGCTTCTGTGCTTCTCAGCACACCAGGTCAATCCCGGCGCTCTGCAGCTTCATGGTCTAGTTCATCACAGCTGTTTATGGCGCACATGCCACACCGGTGCTATCACTGAGATAAACCCCACTCCTCATCCTAAGACAGGGTTTTACTAGGGAAACCAGGCTACCTGAACTCAGAGGCTGGGATTACAGGCGGGAGCCGCCATGTGTACCTTATTATTAGTTTGTTAGTTTGTTTTTTGAGACAGGGTTTCTCTGTGTAGCTCTGGCTGTCCTCGAACTCACTCTGTAGACCAGGCTGGCCCCTAACTCATTGCTATGCCTGCCTCTGCCTCCTGAATGCTGGGATTAAAGGTGTGGGCCACCATGTGAACCTTCATTTTTTAAAATACATTTTTCTTTTAGGTTGACATATAATAATCATATGTACTTATGAGACAAACTCTAATACTTGAACACGTGTGTACAGTGTACAATGGTCATGTATCATATCAAACACTGCCACCTCTCTCTGGGAGACATGTTTGAAAGCTCTCTGCTATTAGACAACCAGTGCTAACAGCTGTAAGTATGCTAAGATGCTGAGAATCATGACAGTCATTTCGCTATCCAGCAGACCCCTGGCTCTGTCACCTGCCCCCACGAGCCTCATCATAACCAATTTGACTTAGAAGTGCTGTAAGGGTCCTGTGTCCTCCTGCAGCCTCAGCCCCAGGAGGTGGAGGCAGGACAACCAGAAGTTCACACTCATCCTCAGCAATAGAGCATGCGTGAGGCAAGAGAGAGAGAGAGAGAGAGAGAGAGAGAGAGAGAGAGAGAGAGGGAGGGATAGATATCTACTAAATGCAAGTGCATTTTTAAAACATTGGTTTTATAGCATGAAAATCAGTAGTTTTTTCAACTGACACCACTCACTGTTCTATTTTGTAATTGTTTTGGACAGGGTTTCATATAGCTTGGGCTGGCCTTGAACTCCCTTTGTAGCCAAGGCACTGAACCCTGATCTTCCTGCCTTTACCACAGTGCTGAGACAGTAGGCATGTGCCACCACCCTGTCCTCAGTTTACAGTGAGGCACTGTGGTACCAAGGACACATGGACTGCATACTCCCCTCCACTGGGACACATGTCACATGCAAGCCACAGGGTACAGCAACCTCCAGAACAGGGCGTTCTGTGCTAGGCCGGAGGGAGACAAAGTACAGAAAGCAGCTGTGCTGGGCGTGGCCAATGGCCGCACCTGGAGTTGCATCCCCAGGAGAGAAAGCATGGTGGGAATGGGGGAAGATGCCAGGTGGACTCCTATCTTCCTCCAAGGTGGCTCAATCACAGGATGTGAAAAAGAAATTCCGCAGGATATAAGCCATAGATGAAAATCGGCCATGGACTGTCCACTTCTCTCCCAGGAAACAGAAATCTGAGCTGTGGCTTCCGGAGCAGTTCTCTCCCACCACCCTTCCCATGACAGACATCACCGACTGCAATCCACTTCAGATACTGTGTCCCCAACCCAAGGGCTGGTACTGAGCCTCGGTAAGCCAGCATGTGTCCTTCCTGTTTCCCATATTGTTAATTTACCGTAACACTTCGGCCTATGAAACACGCCCAGTTTTAAAACAGAAGGGGCAGCTGTACATACACTTAGGTCATTTCTAACAGTTACGTGATTGACAACATATTTACAATAAATACACAGCCAGGTGTGGCAGTGCACACCTGTAATCTAAGCACTCAGGAGATAGAGCCGGGAGGATCAGGAGTTCATATCCTCTGCAACCTAGTGAATTTTCTGACAGCCTGGGCTACATGAGACTGTCTCGACCTTGAAAACCAATAAATAAATAAGCTTCTATAATATAGCCACCAAGTATATGACTTATTAACTGTGAAATATTTACCAGTTTTAAGACTGAAATCTTACCAGGCATGGAGGTGCATGCCTTTGACCTCAGCACTACCAAGGCACAGGCAAATGGATCTCTGCAAATTCAAGGCCAGCCTGGGCTATACAGAGTTCCAGGCCAGTTAGGGCTACACAAGGAGACAATGCTTTAAAAAACAAAATTAAACTGAATTTGAAAAAAGAATCCTGAAATCTTGTTTTCCAATGATAAAAGTCCACACTTCAGTACTGTATCAAAGCAGAAACTAATAATCCAGTTGTCCTTTTCTCTAGTCAACACCTTAGTTGGGGCCCACTAGAAGGTTTTTTGAGTCCATGGGCTAAGACAACAGGTTTCTATGGTAATGTTGGCAGTTTCATCTTGGCCACTAGACCATAGGACATTGTTTTAGGGTGACTCTATGGACCCACCTGCTTGTTGTTCTGGAGTGGTTTCCAAGCCCCACGGTGTTAAAAAGGCTGGCTCTGGGTTTGCAGATGCCTGCGTAGTACCACTGACCTGCAGCAGGTGAGAGAAACCATTAGCTAACAGGAAAGCAAGGACTCCCCACTAAGGCAAACCAGCATGGGGGTGGGAGGGGGTTAGCAGTGCAGGGCCCCTTCTGAGCATGTGCATCTGTCCTCAACCCTGCTTCAATGTTACACACACACACACACACACACACACACCTTTTTTTTCCTTTTGAGACAGAGTCTCATGAATCCCAGACTGGCCTAGGACTCAGTACTGTGGTAGAAGACCCTGAACTTCAGAGTTTTCTCCCTTCACCTCCCCAGTGATTACAGATTGGATTACAGATGACCAATCCCTAGTTTATGCAGTGCTGGGGACAGAACCCAGGTCCCTGTGCTTGCTCTAGCCAGCACGTGACCAACTGAGCTGCATTCTCAGGCTCCTCCCTTCTAGGGGGTAAATCTTGGAACTTCTGTTGTTGTTTTGAGATAGGATCTTGCTACGTAGCCCTGGCCAGACAGCCTCAGACTCACTTTATAGACTAGGCTGGCCTCGAGCCTACAGAGATCTGGTTGCTTTTGCTTCCTTAGTGCTGGGCTTAAAGGTGTGCACTACCATGCACAGCTGGAATAACTTCAGATTTATGGAAGCTGGATCCAGTCCATACAGATCATTTCTATGCACCCAGGCTTCTCTGGCATTAAAATGCCTTGCACACCTGTCAGTGGGAAATTGTCACAGATGCAGCACTGTTCGGCATGCAAGGCTCTGCAGGGCTCCAACCTTCCTCCCTTCAGGGTTTAGGGATTCTGGGGCAGGGAGCTTACTGGCCCCTGAAGCTTGTGACCATTTCTCACAGCCTTAAAACTTTTGAAGGGTGCTGTCCAGTGCCTTGTAGCAACCTGGATCTTTCCTTGCTAGTGTCAATGTGACAACACTGGAGACAGTCCCCTGACCCTTGTAAGGTAATGTGGGCCAGTTACCTTTTTTTTTCTGGTCTTGGGAAGTATCCCCCTGTAGGACCTGCCAGCTGAGCTCCACCCCCTAAGGACTCCCCCACACACTTTAGGATCCATGAGAAAGACCTACCGTGTCCCCATCCACCTGAACTCCTGGGTGGCAATGCAGCACTGACACTGTGGTTCTGCCCAGGTGTGACCACTGGGAGGCCCTGCAAGCTGCCTGAGTCCTGTGGACACAGCTTGGCCATTCTCTCGCTGCACCTCACTTTCTAGTTCTAGCTAGAACTAATTTCTAGTTTCTAGTTTTAGATGGTCTGCACATGTGGCCCAGAAACCTCAGTGGCTGTTTTCAATAGGTAGTCCTGGCTCCTCTGCTGGAAGATGGGGTTAGAAACCAGGATCTGGGGGCTGGAGAGACGGCTCAGTGGTTAACAGCACTGGCTGTCCCTACAGAGGACTCAGGTTCAGTTTCCAGCATCCATACCAGGTAGCTCACCACTACTTGGGACTCCAGCTCCAGGGGATGTGATGTCCTCTGCTAGCTTCTGCAGGCACCAAGCATGCACACACAGACACATATACACATAAGTAAATGTTTAGAAACCAAGGTCAGATGCTGGAAGTGCTTGCTGAGCTAGGTTGTCACTGTCTCTGCCTTCTGGGGGTGGGGGTGGGGCAACTGGGTGACGTGTGTGTGTGTGTGTGTGTGTGTGTGTGTGTGTATGTATGTGTGCTGATGCACTTCTATCTAGAGCCTTCCACCTGCACATGTGCAGACATACACTACAGTGATGACTCAAGATAGACATGGGTTCATGTTAGACTCTCAAACATGAGCCTAGCCTGTATCTTACTGAAACATCTCAAATGCATACCTGTTATAACTTTTAGAATAAGTGTACTGTAAGATTATTTGAAGTAAGGCTGGAGAGACTGCTCAGTGGCCGAGAGCTTGCAATGCTTGTCTAGAGGACCTAAGTACCCAGGCAGGGCTGCTTACAACTGCCTCTAACTTCAGCTCCTGGGGATCTGACACCCTCTTCTGGACTCCATAGGTATTAAACCTACATGCACACCCCTTACACACATACACATAATTTAAAATAAACCTTGAGAACAAAGCAACAAACTTACCTCCAGAGAGGCGTGAGAGGCAAAAAAATCTTCCTCCTTTGGAGGAGGGGACACAGATGGAGCCGCACAGCTGTCCAGCCACAGCTGGAAGGAAAACAAAGCTGAGCTTAGCAAGGAGTTTGCCTCTTCTCCCCAATCCCCTCTAGAGTCCTTCTCTAGTCCCTTACCCCTAACACCAGGGTGTGTCTGTGCAAGGCCCTGAGCACACTGTTGGAAGAAGGAATTATTCTAGAAAGTTTCACACCCCTAGGAGGTTAAGATGTAAGTGCAGATTCTAAGCCATCATGACTTGGCCCAGCCTGGATTTCACATCTGATTTTTCTTCCACACAGAAGTCACTCCTGAGGTTTTTAATCCATCTCCAGACACACAGCACAAATAAGCGATGAGAAGAGTGTGTTACTGGGCAAGGCTGAGTCAGGCACTGTCCTGTTCCGCTCAGGGGGTGCCTTACTCACTGCCATGCTTTTTATTCTCCTGATGGTTTCCATGGCCTGAGGAGAGGGCTGAGTAGCTGTCTAGGTCTCCTAGGCTACCAAGGGCTGTGATGCACCTTCCCGCTCAGCCCTGACTGTGTGTAGTCACTGGGCAAGCGCGTCCAATACATATCAAACAAGGTTGGCAATTAATGAACTAATTCTTCTGAAGACGTTGAAGCCCTGTGTCTTTCTCATACTAGGCAACAAGCGTTCTGTCACCCAGCTTAAGCCTGAGTGATTATCCTTCGATTTATTGATTGAATGATTTTCATTTTCAAGACCCTGACTGGCCTAGAACTCACCATGTAGATCAGACAGGGCTCACAACTGAAGTGTTCTCCCTGCCCCTTCTTTCTGAGTAACCAGGATCCTAGCTGTGAGCCATCCTGTCTGCTTATTTTTGTCTCCTGAGATGGGGTCTCATAGCCCAGGCTAGGTTTGAGCATGGATTCCTCCTGCTCCTACCTCCTGAGTGCTGGGATGTCACTGTGCACCAGCTCATCTCCTTAAAACGAGGTATCTTTAACTGCAAACGCATTACCAAGAGCCATGTCCTGGTTAGTTAATGGAGACATGGCCTGTGTGACAGAGACTGGAAGGAACCTAAAGTCCCTAGCAGAGACCCTCAGTGTCCGAGCCTGCTGAGGCCTAGGTTGATCTGGACAAGGAATGTTCCTTTTCTAAAATCTGGATCATTCAGTGACAGCCTGGGGCCAGAGTCTTAGAGGACCTATGACTTCAGCTCCTGGAAACTCAACTCTTGCCCCCTAAAAGGCTGTGGCCATCAGTTCCAAGGTTGCTCTGAGGTCAGTCAGTGACACACTTGAGACACCCTGTGTTCCCTCTGTGTAACATTGCTTGACTGGCTTCCTGCCGACCTGGCTCCACCGGATGGTAGCCTCCTGATGAGCTGTCACATGTGCCCTGCCCTGTATGTAAGATGCTGTACTTAATAAACCTGCTGGACCTAGGACACAGCGTGTGCAACATCACCTAACCCCCAGCTTCCTATGTCCTCATCCCCTCACCCTCCCACTCTGGACCCTGTCACTGAAGAATGGCCTGCTGGTCTGGTCACAGTGAACTGACAAGGTAGAGCCCGTCTTATCACGAGGGTCCACCATACCCTGGGCTCCTTGCAGGCTCCCTCAGAGAGATGACAAGACACTTTACCAAATGACCTTCCTCTACAGGGACTCACATCGGTACCGTGCCTGCGGGCGGCCTGGGTGGCCAGAGTCTTGATTTTCTCCCTGTAGAGCTGAGCCGCACGGCTGTTGTACTTGGCGTTGGTGTCCTTGGTGGCACACCCGTGTTGGTGGAAGAAGGAAGACTACAGAGGAAATCAGGCAAATTAACAAAGATACCACAAGACCTCTGACCTCATGGTCGATGTGCTACTGAGTGAGGGGCTTAAAAAGTCAAGGGAAAATGAAGGCACCACCCAAGTTCTAAAATCAACTTTCCTCGCAAGAGGGAATCCCTTGGACCGGCGAGATGGTTCAGTAGGTAAAGGTGTCTGCTGCAAAGCCCGATAGCCTGAGTTCAATCCCTAAACTCTCAGGGAAGAGACAGTCAGCTCCTGTAAGCTGTCCTTTAGCCAGGGCCTGCGCACAGCATGTGAGTCCTTCGAATATAATGACAATATTTTTATATTTAACAGTTATTGATTGATCAATGGATGGATGGATTGGTGAGGGGAGTGCATGTGGAAGTCATGTGACAACTTGGGGGCTCTATTGTCTCCTTCCAGAAAGTGGGTTCCAGGTATAGAGGCCAGGTCATCTGGCTTGCCAGCAAGCTGAACCATCTCAGGTCCTAATGCAAATATTTTGATAAAACCAGACAGAAGACTAGATCCAAGAACGAGTCCACTGCCCTTCGGATTCCCATCAGACCACCTCTGTCGACTTGGTGAGGGGCAGGGTCTCACTTAGTATGTCTGTGAATTCAGGCCAGCCAGGGTTGCACAGTCTCAAAAGGAAAACCGAGTGGGACAAACATGGTGTCTTAGAGAATGAACATGACAACTTTTCATTACTCTGATGGCCACACCCTCCACAGACTGCCTCAACTCAGAATTAGGGCTCTTCTTTTTTTTTCTTTCTTCCTTCTTTCTCTTTCTTTCTTTCCTTCTTACTTTTTTTTTTTGAGACATTGTTTCTCTGTGTAGCCCTGACTGTCCTAGGGTTCACTCTGTAGACCAGGCTGACCTTAAACTCAGAGATCCACCTGCCTCTGCCTCCCAAGTCCACCACCTGGCTACAGGATCATGTTTCTTAGTACTTAATTTTTCTCATTAGGGAATACAGAACCCAACATGACTTTGAAATAATCTACTACCTTCTTTTTGCTTGGAGATAATAAAACAGTTGAGAGATTCTGATCTAAGGCAATTTTACATTTTGGAAGTCAGTATTTTAGACTTAGGATTTTGACTTTAAATATTTAAGCCTAGACATTATTTTTGAGATATATACTAATATAATTTCTTTTTCTTTCTTTTTTAGACAGCATCTCACTATATAGTCTTGGCTGGCCTGGAACTCCCTATGTAGACCAGGCTGGCCTCAAACTCACAGAGATCCTCCTGCCCCTGCTTGCTGGGCGACAGGGGTGTCTGTATCAGACATGGCCACCACATGGGACCACATATGTTTCCTTGCACCTGACTCAACTGCACCTTGGAAAGGACTCCAGTCACCAGTTGGTATCATCTGGAAACAAATGGGGCGTCAGTGTCTCAAAATATTTTTCTGGCTAGACTGTTCTCTTTGACAACTGTTGCGATAATATTTTAAAACGGCAGCACCCGGTCTGGCTTGTTCTTAATCTGCCACCATCTACCAACTAGACAAGGCCTGTGGCCACAAGCAGAGGTGTATTCTCTGGCATATTCTCACTGCCGCTTGGCTCAGGTGGCCAAAGACACTGGCCTGGCCACCCACAAGACACCAGCGTGGGAGATGGTTCTGCCAATCTTCCATGCAGTCTCTACAAGCTGGGCTGAGCCCAGACAATCCCACAATCTACGCGGTACCCGGAAGAAATGAGACTCTAATGTTTAAAGATTAACCAATAGCTTTATATATTTGGTAATGCTCAATGTCAAGATACCTACACAACTGGAAGTGTCAACCAATTAACTAACCTAGACATAAGTTGTTACCCAGGACTGCTCTCCATACATGCGTGGCCATCCATGGTTCCTACATCTCTCTCTCACTCCTCCTCTTCCTTCCTCTCCTTCCTCCTCCCACCTTAGCTCCTCCCAACTTGCAGGGAAAATATGCCGCTACAGACAACTCCATCCCTGTGTCTAACGCTCTGCCTGTTTTTACACTCTCACCCCCCACTCCTCTCACAACCTGTCCCAATGAATCCCCTTCTTTCACGTCTCCTGTTGGCCTTGCCTCTTTGTGAGACCTACTGAGTTTAGCTAGGGGTGCTTGCATAAGCATGGGTCGGGGCTATTTACTGGAGCTTGAACAATTATCCTGTGGCTATACCACTGAAGGAAACCAACCCTGTCGTGGCCCCACCCTCCACCCCTGACACATACACACTAGCTCCACTGGAAAGGTTTCTGGTCTACCATTTGAGACCTAAGTCTCTCTAATTAGTGTAAATACACACATTTTCAGTGTATGTACAGAGGCCACTCCTTCAAGGGTAAGAACCTCTGTCTGTTTTTAAGCATGTCCGCTTTTCTACATCCTCGACTGCTTCCTGTTTCCTTATGGCACTCATGCCGCTGGTCTTTTCTCTTTCATCTGCTTCTTCAGCTGTGCTGTAACTTGGCCATGAGAGGAGCCTGATGGTTACCAGATCCTCAGAACCCAACCCAACAGGCCCTCAATCGCTTCTGAACAAACGTGCCCCTGGTGCTTCTGCTCACTGAGCCTACGTCTCATCCCACACTCCCAGAGCCTCCCAAACATGGCAACTGAACTTCAGTAGAGAAGAGGAAAGGGCAAGTCTGGGGACTTACAGCATTCGCGTTCCCTCCAACTTGCATGCATCGAAGCTGAAACCATGACCAGTTTGAATCCAGCTCTGTGGACCTGGGAGGAACACAAGGATTACAAGATGTGAAGCTGTCCTTCTCTGGCATCTGCTAACTGAGCTTTTAAAACACTCCTTCGGGGCTGGAGAGATGGCTCAGAGGTTAAGAGTACTGGTTGTTCTTCCAGAGGTCCTGAGTTCAATTCCCAGCAACCACATGGTGGCTAATAACCATCTATAATGAGATCCGATGCCCTCTTCTGGTGTGCAGGCATACATGCAGGCAGAACACTGTATACATAAATAAATAAATAAATCTTAAAAAAACAAAACAAAACAAAAACCCATTTACTTGTGCTGTGGGATTTAGGGAATTCTGTGTAGCCAGGCACGGTGCTGTGCACCTATAATCACTGTAATCCACACGGGCAGAAACAGAGCCTTGCCAGAGTCCGGGTCACCCTGCTTCAAAGCTTCCAAGGGAGCTTAGGGTGAGCGCTGTGGCTCTGTGCCCGTGTGTATGCCTGGTCCTTCAGAGGCCAGAAGAGGGGGTCTGATCCCCTAGAGCTACACACAGTTGTGAGACTCCACATGCGTGCTAGGAGCCAAACCTGGGTTCTCTGGAAGAACAGCCAGCCAGTGCTTTTAATCACTAAGCCATCTCTCCATCCTCTTCTCTTTTCCTTTAAAAATTATTTTTATTATGTACATGTATGTTGCATATGTCACATATATGCCTATGGGTTCCCTGAGAATGGGGTCACAGGTGCTTTGTCACCTGACTCGAGTGCTGGGAGCTGAACCTGGGCCTTCTGCAAGAAGAGCAAGTGCTCTTAACTGCTGAGCCATCTCTCCAGCTCCTTTTAAGCAGGACTTTTAAACTGAGTTGACAGGGATTCCCGTGGACTCCCAAGACAAAGGATGCAGGTGTCGGAGGCCTGAGCATGCCCCGCACCCCACCCTGCCCCGCCCCAGCAGGCAGAAGCCTTGGGCAGCATCACTGCCATAGGAAGAGCTGCTGCTCTGCAGAGTCCTGTGACGGCTGAGTGCTGAGGAAAATGTGTCCTTGTTAACCAACGATGTTCAGAGACGGAGACGCCGGTATCACACTAAGGATCTTCTTTCAGATCTCTTGAGCAGTCACCTGGCTGAGTCTGACAGCCCTGTGAACAGCTCTGCCTGGGTGCTGGGTAGAACCAGGGCAGTCCTCAGTAGCTGCTGAGTGCTGGACCCAAGCACTGTGTCTGGTTTGTCTGTATGCACGCTCCTAACTTGCTCCATTGGCTGCTGACCAAAGACAGTTTAGAAATTACTTTGTTGGGCTGGAGCGATGGCTCAGTGGTTAAGAGCACTGACTGCTCTGCCAGAGGTCCTGAGTTCAATTCCCAGCAACCACATGGTGGCTCACAACCACCTGTGATGGGATCTGATACCCTCTTCTGGTGTGTCTAAAGACAGCTACAGTGTACTCATATAAATAAATCTTTAAAAAAAAAGTAAATAAATCTTTTTTAAAAAGAAAAGAAATTACTTTGCCCTTTGTAAAATCACTATCATGAAATTCAATCTAAAAACAAAAACTCCCCTTGGTTAAATATATCATCCGTGGCACACGGTTTACAGTGATCATGTGTGAGGGCTACAGCTGTCTGTGTGTGCCTATGCTCACTCGTTTGTGTGCACGTGTGTGGCTGGCAGGCTGGCAGGGGTAGAGGAAGAAGGAAGGGAGAGGCCAGTGCAGGGGCTGCCATGTCTCAGTTGCATACTTGGGGCCACTGAAACTTTTTCACAGTGAGTATTTGTGTTTTTCTTCTGAGCTGGGTCTTTTGAGGTTGCTTAGGTTACTCATAGACTTGTGGGCCTAAGTGATCCCCGTGGGCTCTCCAGGGCTAGGGTTCCTTACATGTCCACAGTGCTAGGCTTGGGATGGCTTGTTTGACTGCTTGTTTGATTTTGTCTCTTCCTGTAGTCCTGGCTAGCCTGGACTTCACTATGTAGACAAGGCTGGCCTTGAACTCAGCATTGAGCACCCTGGAGTTTGTCCTGTCTACAGCCCAGGCAGCTGCCTTTGACTCTTAGTGGTTTTGAATCTTCTATATGCATATGACTCATACCTTTATCTGACTTTAAAAGGCACATGTCTGAACCTGCACAGGCCCAACAGATCTCGCTGTCCAGGCTCCAGGACAGCCCTCTTACTACCTGGAACTCTGTGTATGGGCATATGCCTCAGAGGTGAACAAGAGGACAGGCCAGCTGATAAGGAGGGGACCTGGAAATAGGACAGAACAGCACAAGGCAGAGGGAGGGGCAGCTGTGAGTGGCCTCACACCCAGCCTTTCTACACTCTGGACAGGGTGTGGCACCGTGTATGAACAGCTCATGACCAATCTTGGAAAAACCTTCTCAAAAGTAAATCTGGAAGCTGGGGGACAGGGGTGGTGGTACTGGTGGCTCACATCTATAAACTTAGGAGGCTGAGGAAGGAAAATTACAAGTTCAAGGCCAGTATGGACCACAGAGTGAGTTTAAGGCCAGCCCAGGCAATATATGAGAACTTGTCTCAAAATAAAAGTACAAAAAAGCTGGGGAATCTAGTTCATTGGTAGAACAGTTGCCTAGCATGCATTAATGTGGCAGTGTATACGTGCAAGGTCCTCAGCTCTGTCCCAAGGCCATTTGCATAACACTCCCCCATACACACATGAAGTTATTCACTTAGCTATAACCACAAACAAAAATTAACTCAAAGTGGGCATGGTGGCATACACCTTTAATCCCAGAACTTGAGAGGCAGGGGTAAATGAATTTCTGTGAGTTTAAGGCCAGCCTAGTCTACATAGCAAGTTCCAGGACAGCCAGGGCTACATAGCGAGATGGTAGCTAAGTAACAAAAACAAAACTCAAAAGGGTCAAAGACATTTGTGATATCTGTGATATTTGTGATTTGTGATATTTGAAACTAGAAAACTCTTGGAAAGAACAAGATAAAAACCTATGGCAGTAGGTTTGGTGCAGTACCTTGAGAAGGAGCCAAAAGGCATACGCTAACTGGACTTCAGGAAGTTAAAGCAGGTATATCAAAAGACAGGGTACGGAGCCGGGCGGTGGTGGCACACCTCTTTAATCCCAGCATTCAGGAGGCAGAGGCAGGCAAGCCTCTGAGTTTGAGGCCAGCTTGGTTTACAGCGCAAGTTCCAGGACAGCTAGGGCTACACAAGAAAACTCTGTCTCGAAAAAGAAAGAAAGAAAGAAAGAAAGAAAGAAAGAGAGAGAGAGAGAAAGAGAGAGAGAAGGAAGGAAGGAAGGAAGGAAGGAAGGAAGGAAGGAAGGAGGAAGAGTATCAATATATCCATCAGATGGGAGGAAATAATTTCAAATTGCATCTATTATAAGGGATCACTAGACGGCAAACATAAGGAACTCTGAAAGTTCAACACAACGAACAACCCAATCCAAACCAGGCAAGAACAGGAACAGAAAATCTTCAAAGCAGAAACACGGGTGGTCCACAGTGCACGAGAAGATGCTGAGCGCCAATCACTGGGAAGTTCATATCAGAAATACAAGGAGAAACCACCTCACACCCAATGGCTGGTACTAAAAAAAAGAGAGGAGAAAAAGGGGGGGGGGGGGGGGGGGAAGGGGGGAGGGAGGGAGGGAAGGAGTCTTGGCTAAGGGTCTGGCTTAGTAGCAGAATGTCCAGGCAGCATGCATAACATCTGGTTTAGTCTCCAGCACCACAGAAAGAAAAAGAGAGCAGGAACAAGATGGTGAGGACCAGGAAGAGGAGGGGAGGAAGAGGAGGAGAGGAAGACACTGTCTGCCGGTGAAGGTGAGCAGAATGTACGGTGGCAGAGTCATCCTGGACAAGGAGGGGCTTCCTCACAAGAGGAGAAATATAATCACCACCTGAACCATTGACAGCACTTCCCCAAGGGGCTCAGGAAAGTTCTCAAAGTGACCCGTGTATACGCGTGCTCAAGGCAGCTTTTTCTCAGTGGCTACCATGTGGGAACACTTCAAGTGTCTACCCATGGTTGGGCAGACATGCCAGTCAGCACTTAGAGATCACTGGGGTGTTATTTAGCCTCAGCAAAGGAAGGGGACACGGATTATGAACAATGGATGGTAAGCGTTTGAAGCAAAACGAGCTAGTGCAAAGCAGCCAGTAGCCAACTCTATCTATATGCACCGTGAAGGCGAGAGGCTGTGACTGCAGGCTCCTAGGCTCATGCCCTTGGTCCCAGCTGGTGGATCTGTCTGAAAGGTTATGGCACCTTAGGAGGTAGAGCCTTGCTGGGAGTGTCAGTCAGGGAGGCTTTAAATTCTTAGAACCTTGTCCCTCTTCTTGACCTCTCTCTGCTTCCTGGCTGTTTGGCTGACCTCATTTCCTGCTGTGATTTTTTTAAAAAACTATTATGGATTTTTTCTTTAGAACACTGAGTCAAAATTAACTCTGTTTAAGTTGCTTTTGGATATGTGTTTTATCACAGGAACAGATTAAAAACTATAGCATGAAGAAGATATTACATTAGGCAAATCATAAACTGGGCAGTGGTGGTGCACGCCTTTAATTCCAAACACTCAGGAGGCAGAGGCAGGCAGATCCCTGTGGGTTTGAGGACAGCCTGGTCTACAGAGTGAGTTCCAGCACAGCCAGAGCTACACAGAGAAACCCTGTCTTAAAAAAACCATATTATTATTATTATTGTCAAAGACACAACAAGTATACAATGGCATAGTCCATTCCAAACATTCTGGAATCAGAATCTCAGACAAAAGAAGATGACTGATATTTTGAAACAAGGAAGAATATTCAAAGCAACTTCCTTTTCTTAGTAACTACAGATGCAGTTAGCTGGCTACACCATGCCCTCAGGTAGGGCTGGAGAGGTAGCTCTGTGGCCAGGGGTGCTTACTGCCCTTGCAGAGGAACTAAGTTCAGTTCCCAGAGTTCACATGACACACGACTTCCTGCAATTTCAGCTCTAGGAGATTGGAGGGTGTCTGCTGGCCTCCAAAGGCAAACACACATACATAGACACACACACACACACAGACACGCAAATACCAACACCCACAGACACACAGACATGCACATATCAGTTATCCACAGACACACAGACATGCACATACACACAGCACACAGACACACACACATACCTACCCTCCCAGACACATACACACACACACACAAATTTTAAAAAATTAAAGACAGAAGATGTTATAGCCATCACTGTATAGTTTCCATGCTGTCATATAAAAAGTGTCATTGCCTTTGTTTTTTTCATTCAGGGACAAATGCTCCTTTATGGTAGTCACACTGTGACAATATTCCTTAAGTTAAGACAACAACAAGAAAGCATTCCACAGTTCCTTCCCAGAGGACAACCAGATACACAGACCAGCTGATGGAGGAAGTGGCACCGACAGAGGCCTGAGTCCCTGGGATGACCTGGAGAGGTGCCCTGACAAGGCCCAGGCAGCCACTGCACACTTTGCTAGGCCTCTGGCCTGACTCCAGCCCTCTGCCCATTTCTTATTCCTCTTCACCTCACTTCAGAGGCTCTTTCCCTCCCTCCTTTCTCTGGAGCCCACAGTGTGGGGAGAAGAAGGGCATTTCCTCACTGGAGTGGCCAGTGCAGACCCAGCTCTTGGTAAAGAGGGAAGAAAGGCCTTCCCATATAAACATGTGACAGCACCATCAAAGAGCGGGACAGACGAGTCTGCTCAGGCTTTGTCCTGCTAGTGTCAGTGAGATGGGAGCTGAGGAGGATGCTGGTGCCATACCTGGATGAGGAGGCCTCCACCCTTCATGTGAACTCTCAACCTTGTGTGTGTGTACAGGAAGCCCCTTCTCTCTCCAGTGTGTACTTTAATTTCTTAGAAGGCACTGGAGGGAAAGGAACTATTCCTCTGAGACCTCCCATCTGACTTTGTCTTCAACACCAGAGCTTTATTTCTCCCACAGGATCTCCACAGAGGCCCAAGGAGAAAATGGCCTATTTTTCCATGTCACTAGATGGTGCAAGAGTTACCCCAACCCCCAGATTACGGTTATTTGTCATTTGACTGATATCAAGTCAACAGCAATAGAAAAGGGACAACACTGACGCTCATGGTTAACTTCCTTCTCTTTCTTTTTAATTTTTCATATATTTTATGTGAATGAATGTCATCTGCATGAACATCTGCATAGCAGAACATCTGCATAGCAGAACATCTGAATAGCAGAACATCTGCATGAACATCTATCTGCATAGCAGAAGAGGACATCGGATCCCATGAGATACAGCTGTAGATGGTTGTGAGCAGCCATGTGATTGCTGGGGACTGAACACAGGACCTCTGGAGCAGCCTTTCTCCAACCCCATTGGTGGCTCATTTTCATTGCCAACTTTGACTGGCTTCAGCATCACATGGGAAAGCAAACACTGAGTGTGCCTGTCAGGGAGTTTCCGGGCAGGTTTAATTGAGGACGACCCACCCTGGGCATGGGCTGCACCATCCCCAGTCTGGGGAAACTGAGCCAAGCACCAGCATTCAGATCTGCCCCTGACTTGGATGCTATGGGGGCTGTCATTTTGCTCCTGCTGCTGTGGTAGACCACACCCTCAAACTGTGAGCCACTCTCAAACTGTGAGCCAAACTAACCCTTTCTCCTTTAAATTACTCCTGAGGAGATAGGTACTGAAGACATCCATGTAACAGACGGGGGGTGGGGGGGAGAAGGGGGAAAATTCACTTACCGAATAAAACTCAAGTGAACCCCGAGCGACCGGTGTGACCCCGAGCAGTCGATGCAGAGAAACACCCCATAGCTTATGCTTGCCCAGCTGGGATTTTTGGCACCACAGTCAAAACACACCTGAAAGAACAAACATTCATTAGACTGGGCCGGGGACTAACTGGCATTATCAGGTGACTCACCCAGGAGGCTAGAGTACAAGACCAATGTGAAGGTGGCTCAGCTGTCACACTTTTAAGCCAATGTGTCACCCAGAAGCTGGAGGAAACTCTCAGTCCACAAAGGGCTGGCCTTGCAGGCATGAAAACCTGTAGTCCATCCCTAGGACCCCTGGGGGAGGGGAAGAGGACAGCTGGCGGTGGTTGCATACTGCAAGGTAGGCAGAGGCAGGCAGATCATTTACCAAGTTCCAAGCCAGTGAGAGAACCTGCCTCAAAGCAATAAGGTAGATGGCATTGGAGGAATGACAGCTGAGACTTGTCTTCTGGCCTCCACACAGGTGTACACATGTGCTTATATACCAGCACACACGTCCCCATGCATCCACACAGACATGCATACACAGGGAGAGAAAGCGTGTCACCTAGGTTTTCAAAACTCTCGAATCTTGTATTATAATAATGATCTATAACTACAGTAATTAGAATAAAAAGAATACAGATCCATCTCAAACACTGCTGTCCTGGAACACTCAGTAGGGCCCTTAGCATATCAACTCATGCCTGTGAGGAACACGGCTCTGCTGGGACACTGTCCCACACCATCACCCGGGCAGTGGCTGTATCCTACACGGCCGGCTCCTGGGTGTGAGTCTTCTCTCTCTGTCAGATGTCCAGTCACCCCCACTGCCCAATAGCCACGTCCTCACACGATCCCTGCTTCCCTTTCCCGGCGTGCATGGTAGAAGGAGGCGGGAGGAACCATCTATCACCGCGTCTAAGACACCACAGCCTCATCGCCCCTGGGTCACTACCTCTTGGGAGAAACCAGCTATGGTTTCTGAAGGAGACGCAGCCAGCCCTGGGCAAAGGCTCATGTGCTGAGGCCCTAGCTGAACCGCCTGTGGAGAGTGAAGGCCTGCCCATACCACACTGCTCAAATGACTGTTCCTGTGACACAGACAGAATACGCCCAGCTAGCTAAGTGGATCCCCGCTCCTAAACTCAGAACCCACGTGAGTGAAGACGCTAAGTTTGGAGGGTTTCTCCAGTGCTCCTCTCTGAAGCACAACACTTTGAGAACTATTAGATACCCAAGTCACCACGGCAGTGTCCTCTGCTCTGTAGCACTGAGAACCCCTGCAGGGCTGGGTCTTTCCTGTAACCTGCTTTTGCTGTTAGCATAGGTGCTTAGTGCTGGCTGAACAGCTCTGGGTATTTAGCTCCCACGGACCTTGACCCGAGAGTCCTTCCTAAGCACTCAGGAAACCTTTGTAAGCCAAGTTAATAACAGCACACCAATTATTGCCAGCTCAAAAACTGCCAGCAGATCCTTCAACTACGATGAGAGAAAACACTTGCTAGGCCACCCAAAGGGCTCAATGGGTAAAGGTGCTTGCGGCCAAGCTTTGATGACCTGAGTTCAATTCCTAGATCTTACATAATAGAAGAAATGAATCCCTTAAGTTGTCCTCTGAGCTACACAAGCAGGCCATGGAATGCACACACACCATGGTACTCATGGGACCCTGTCCACCACAAAATACATACACACCACAAAATACATACATACATACATACATACATACATACATAGTGCCTTCCACAGACTTTAATTTTAGTATTTATAGTTAATTCAAATCAGAATAGCAATTACAAAAATACAAAACAGAAAAATTGTCTTTTTTTTTTTTTTCAGAACCCTCCTTACTCTAAATACAGTTTAGAAAGTAAAAAGTACCCTCAGGAAAGAGCTGCTTCTGGTCTTGGGAAAGGAAAAACTACAAGCTGCTAAAAGCCATCACCAGCCAAGTTCAGGCTGATCGGCGAGAGCAGGTGTGGAGTGACACCGGGCAGAGAGCAGCTGGCCAGTGACTCATTCTGGTGTTCTCTGACTGCCGGCTACGTGTCAGATACTGTGACAGGAGCCAAGGTACAAAGGAATGGATGCCGTCATAGAATCCAGCAGTGCATACTGAGACCCAGTGTCTGCCAGGCCACGTGCCGGCCTATGGAGTGCTCACTGCGTGGGGAGAGACGGACACAGACACTAAACAGTGCTTGGGTACCGGCTCTGGAAGTAAGGAGCTTCTCAGAAGGGATGCTGCTGCTCACCCGACTTTATAGTACACTTCCCATCCTGTGCTGTCCTCGGCACAAATCTGTCCCTTGGCACCCACTGGTCCAGTGGGAGAGACAACTCATTATGTGATCTTAGGACTTTAGGTTAGCATATAAAACAAAGTGTCTTATGCAGGTCAAAGCCGGGATGTAGCCCGGTGGAAGAGGGGATAGCAGAGGTTTGCTATGTACAGTCTAGGGCAGGCAAGCCGAGCATCATGTCTGAGTGGTTACTACAGGGGAAAGGGGACACAAAACGGGGTCTGCTCTACTTTAACAGGTGATCCCAAACAAAAACTATGGTCTCCTAAGAAGAATTCAGTTTGCAGAAGGGAAAAAAGAAATAGCTTTTAGCTGACAGTGTTATGCCAGATGATGAGAATTTTCTTACGGAAATAGCAGCTAATGCTTCACAAAACCTGAAGGGAAGGGTTTATCATCTCAGCAGCCTCGATCACTGTGACACCTGGGAAATTCCCACCGCCTTGGCGGGCTTGTGGCAGCTTGAACATTCTGCAGTTCTGTGTTGACATTCTTGATGCTTTTCACATCAGGGCATAAGCTCTCTGTTTTCTGCATTTGACAAATTAACTGCTGGCCTTTGCCATATTTTGGAGAGAATAACGAATTAATCAAGCATCACAGCCGGGAAGCAGGAACCGGAGATGGAATGGTGGGGCATGCCTGGGACGTGGAGGCAGGAGGATCAGGAGTTCAAGGTTGTCTTTAGCTACACAGAGCACAGGAGGCCAGCCTGGGATACCTGAAACCTTATTTCAGAAGGAAATGAAAACAAGAAATGTAGGAAGTGGATGTTTCCCCCATGTTAGCACAGCATCATGAAGTCCTTAATCTACTTCTAAAAATGAATGTAAGTGCCTATGTGTATCTCTGTATTCCACATATGTGTCTGGTGTTCACAGACATCAGAAGAGGGCATTGGATCCCCAGGAGCTGGAGCTATAGATGGTTGTGAGTAACCATGTGGGTGCTAGGAACCAAGCCCAGGTCCTCTGTTGGAGACATAAGTTCTCTCAACCACTGAGCCATCTTTCTAGTCTCCCCTATCTACTATTTTTTTCTTAACATTTATTTTGGGCTAGAGAGATGGCTCAGCAGTTAAGAGCACTGATTGCTCTTTCAGAGGTCCTGAGTTCAATTCCCAGCAACCACATGGTTGCTCACAATCATCTGTAATGGGATCTGATGCCCTCTTGTGTGTCCGAAGACAGCTACAGTGTACTCATATAAAAATAAATACTACTTTAAAAGACGTTTACTTTGTTTCTAATTGTGTGTGTGTGTCTGTGTGTGTGTGTGTGTGTATGTATATGGCGGTTGCCCTGAGTCCAGAGGCATGGCCCCTAGACTTGGGATTACAAGTGGTAATGAGCCACCTGCCACTGGTGCTGGGATCCTCACTGGGTCCTTTGCAAAGGCAGCACATGCTGATTCACCCCTCTAGCCCTATCCCTTCCATTTCCCGCCCCTACTGCAGGCTCCCTGAAGGCATGTGCCAGGTCTATGCCTCCGGTGTAAAAGTCCTCAGTGCCTTACACAGCACTGGAACCAATGGGTGCTGAACAACCTGACGAGCAGCCCCGTACAGAAAACAGATCTTCCATCCAAGCAGACTGTCATCAGATCCAAGAGAACAGACAGTGACTTTCAAATAAAAGTAAATCCAGCTGCTTTCCTTTTGCCTTTTCTTATTTATTTTATGTATATGAGTACACTGTAGCTGTCTTCAGACACACCAACCAGAAGGGGCATCAGACTCCATTACAGATGGTTGTGAACCACTATACGGTTGCTGGGATTTGAACTCAGGACCTCTGGAAGGGCAGTCAGTGTGCTTAACCACTGAGCCATCTTTCCAGCCCTCCTTTTGCCTGCCTTTTCTGACAATGTATTTTAGGTTCTTGGTGTTTTGTTTTTGTTTGCTTTTTCTTTTTTTAACAGCCTGCCCCCTGTTTAGACAGGGTCTCCTGTAACTCAGCCTGGATCGCACTTGTTCTGTAGCTATAGATAAGTTTAAGTCCCGATCCTCCTGCCTTTCCCTCCAGGTGCTGGAATTAAGTGTGAAGCACGGTATCATGCTTCCAGCCCTACTAAAGCCAAACGTTTACTTAGACGGCATGTCCTTACAACCCCAGATGAGTCTTTATATAGTGTACTTATCTTTTTCTTAAAATTTCCATTTGTGACAGAACCTTATTATATGGTCTAGCTTTGAATTTGGAAATCCTCCTGCCTCAACTTAAGCATTTTAAAAGTGCTGTTAAGCCAGGCATGATGACTGGATGGCTTGAAGCCATCTTCATCTTGTAATTTTGTCATTCAGAGAGCTGTGGCAGGGGTTGCAAATTCGAGGCCAGACTAGGGTTACATAGTGAGTTCAAGGCTGGCTTGGGCTATACAGACAAAACCTGTCTCACAAAACAAAACAACAAAACAAAACAAAACCCTGGAGGTATAGCTCAGTGGTAGAGAAGGCCCTAGGTTCAAACCCCACACTGCACTAGAACGGTGGTGCTTATTGTTGCTCAGTTCCTCTAGTCATTCAAACTAGTTCTCACCAGCAGGGCATGCTGGGTCAGGCCTTTCACCCCAGCACTGCGGAGCCAGAGGAAAGGCAGGCAAGTCTCTGTGAGTTTGAGGTTAGCCTGGTCTACAGATTGGGTTCCAGGACACTTAGGGATACTCAGAGGAACCCCATCTCACAAAAACAAGTTTCACCATTTTTCAGGTCAAAGCCATCCAGTCAGCAATGGCTTGAAGCCACGACCATAAAGGAAAGCCAATGTCATGAGACATGACCAGAAGCTACTCTGAAATCTTGCTTTAGAAATCATATCACGCCAGGCGGTGGTGGCGCACGCCTTTAATCCCAGCACTTGGGAGGCAGAGGCAGGCGGATTTCTGAGTTCGAGAGTTCGAGGCTAGCCTGGTCTACAGAGTGAGTTCCAGGACAGCCAGGGCTACACAGACAAACCCTGTCTCGAAAAGCCAAACCAAAAAGAAAAAAAAGAAAAAAAAGAAAAAGAAAAAAGAAATCATATCACAGGAAAGATGGCTTAGTGGTTAAGAGCACTGGCTGCTCTTCCAAAGGTCCTGAGTTCAATTTTCAGCAACCACATGGTGGCTCACAACCATCTGTAATGGGATCTGCTGCCCTCTTCTGGTGTGTCTGAAGACAGCCATAGTATATTCATATATTTAAAATAAATAATTTTTAAAAAGGAAATCATATCACAGAACATAAAGTTTCCATAGGTGTGCTCTTCAGAATAAATTGAAAAAAAAAAAAGGCTACATTCATGTAGATTAGAGTCCAACCAGGCTTTCCTTTGTGTGTGTGTGTGTGTGTATGTGTGTTTCCATTTTGAGGCAGGTCTCACTTTATAACACATACTAATCAAAAAACCACTACATATCCCAAGCCAGCATTTAACTATTGGAAATTCTACTGCCTTGGTTTCTCCCAAGTGCTGGGATTATATAGATATGTACTGTCACGGCCAGCTGGACAATAATTTTAATTTTTTGAGAAATAGTCTAATGTAATCTAAGGCTGCCTTAGAACTTGCTATGTAGCTGAGGCTGCCCTGGAACTATTGTTCTTCTTGCTTTCACCTCCCAAGTGCTGGGATTACACCATGTGCTACCACACTCAACTACATTTTAATATGCCAGCAAGCCCAGGTGGGCTCCTTAAAGGTGTCTCCTGGTATTGATGACACTGACTTCTTGTTTAAAAGAAGTGTCTTCCCTTTTTGCTATTGCTTCTTGCTTTTTGTTTCATTATTTGGAATGGCTTTTTGATACATTCAAAGGGAATACATATTGGTGTGGTTCACAGAGAAACTAGTAGCATATGTATTTTTCCACCCTGCCAGCTGTAGATCTCATCTTGTGTGGTAACAAGTCCTTGCTACACACAGATCAATCTAAATTTGAAAAAAAATCAAGAAAATAGTAAAGCAACAGACACTGGACTGTGCCTGGAAGCCAGATCTTCTTTCTTATACCCACCTGACATTATCACCCCCATTTAACCATTTCCTTCATCATAAGGCTATAAAAATCTAGGCTCCCTTCCACCATCAAGACATAAAATGCCTGAATTTCATGAAGTGCTACAACTATCTATGCCAGCCATTCAGGACTCTGTAATCATGGTTGTGCCCGTTAACAGATGGTTCCTCAGAGGTGAAGGTGTACACCAGATGGAACTTGGAGAGGGGTGGGGAGAGTCCACAGTGACACGACAGCCCTTTGCACTCCTCGGGTTCCACCCTACTCCGTCATCCTAAGGAAGTGGTCACCTTAACCCTGTGTATCATAACAACACTGCCAGCCACATGCTAAAACTTATGAGGCCCAGTGGATGGGGGGTGGGGACACATAAGGGAAAGGAAAATTGTAGGGGCAGATCTCAACCTCCAGAGGGGTGAAAGTAAACCTCTGTGTTCCTCCTCAGAACAGAGAAAGCTGGCAACCAGGGCAGAGAACCTTAGCTTTACTGGATTGGGAAACAGGCTGCCACCAAAGGACAATGGTGACAAAGATCCAACAGGTCCCCAGCCCTGAAGAACACTCAAGATAAGGTCCATGGTGGGGAGAAGTCCTTCTTTCCCAGAACCTAGTACTAGAGTTCCGACCCCTAGACACTCACACTCCTCGGTCTAGTTGGCTATAATATTTACCCTTAGCTCACAGAGGCCAGGAGTGAACTGTCCCTCTCCAGCTTTCTCAGAGCCCAACTATACAACCAACGAATACACTTCCACTGTCTCTTCCCTCCACCCCACCATGTCTGTGTTTCTGGGTCAAGGTGCTCTGGTCTCCAGACCTAGGCACCCCTAGATGCTACGAACTAGCCTTCTTTCTGAGCCCCCAGGTCATCTGGCTCTGCTCCTGGATACTCTAGAGGCCCATACCCCAGTCTTTTCCCTGCCTCGAGATGCATTGGTCTCCTGTCCCAGATGTCCATGCCCCAGTCTTCTGTCTATCCCCAGGTGCTCTGGCCTCTGGTGGCGGACACCCCAACTGTCCATGTCCCAGCCATTCCTGTGACCCCAGGAGCTCTGCCCTCGGATGGTTGACATGCCACATGTCTATGCCCCAGTCCTCTCTGTGACCCCAGGCTCTCTGCCTTTTGGTCCTGGACATCCTCCAGATGCCCATGTCCCTGTGTCCCACGGCCTCTGGCCAGGTGCTCCCAGACCCAGTACTCCGTCGCTAAGCCCCTGGTGTGCGCCCCCTCTTCCGTCCCTTGCTGACGAAGGTGGGGGAGCGGCGGCTGCCAGGCCCACAGTGCGACGTGTCACAGGCCGGGCGGCTCCTCCCACGGCCGCGGCCACACCGGGGTCCAGCGGGCCGCGGGGTCCCGAGCCCGCCTGCGACCGTTACCTTGTTAGTGGGCACCGAGCGCAGGCGCTTGAAGATGGCCAAGATGTCCTGCTTGCTGGGGTCCCCCATAGTCACCGAGAACCGAGGTGAAGCAGTCCCCGACAACCGGGAAGAGACAAGGAGAAGCAGTTGCCGCCTCCCGGAGACCAAGGGGCGGGGCTGCGCGTGACGACAGACCCCGCCCCTGCCGCGCCCAGGCTCCGCCCACAAGCGGGCGCACGCGCCGTTCTCCTTCACTCCGAAGGTCCACCAGCGCCTCTGGTTTCTCCCGGTTCCAACTTCGAAGTCGGGCGCGGCAGGCGCATGCGCGGACGCTCGGCCAACTCTGAGCCTCCTCTACCCCTCCGCAGTCCTTACCCAGCCCTCAGTGTCAGTCAGGGTCCTGCAGGGAGCACCAGGCTTATCCACCGGACTCGCCAGCATCCCGTTGCTGGCCCACACCTATCTCTCAGGTTGGCAGAGTCGGCGGGTCCCAGCCTCGTGGATCCTGTAGAGCAGTAGTGTTTGAACTCATTCTCAGCCAAGCCCCGAATGAAAATCTACAGGAAACTGCTGTCTTATTTTCTCTCTCCTGTGAAACCTAGGCTAGCCTAGAGCACACCGTGTAGTCCCAGGCTGAACTGGAGATCTTCCTGGCTCAGCTTCCTGCTGCTCAGATTACAAGTCAGCAACAAGCCATACTGGCTTGGTAATCTTGTAATTATAATTGTCTGTTCTGTTAATGGAGAGAGTGCTTGTCTCTAGGCAACAAGTTCTGTCAGGGTCAGAACTGAGAAGTCTAGAAAGACCAGAAACATGTCTATGTTTAGTGTTTGGGGCTCCATCTAAACCTTGGATAACAGTAACTAGAAGGCTTGGCCTTGGGAGCAGGTGCCTCTTTTATAGGGTTCAGGGAGGAGCAGCTGGCAAACATGGCCTTAGGTAGAGCATAATAGAAGAAAAACAGGTTTTGGTGTCAAGTGCAGTGCCCCAGCTTCTGTCTCAGTTTAACTTGCTGCTTCCCAGCCAGGCCGCTTTAGGTACTTCCTAGCATTCACCTGTATGAAGGAGTTGGAGATGAAATATGTTGACCAGAGCAGCAATGCAACTTCAGGGATGTTCTGGAAAGGGCCTTGGTGTCAAGTTGGGACCTCACATAGGCCGTGAAAGGACCAGAACTGGCATGGGATACACAAAGTTCTCAGCACAAAGATTTGCTCCAGTGACAGAGAGGGCAGGAAATAGGAGACAAAGACAAGAGATAGAGCAAGAAGGGAAAAGGAAGAAGGGAGAGGTTATTTGCCCCAGAGGGACAAAGGGCTGCTTCTGGATGGCAAGTGGCAGTTTATAAAGGCAAAAGGGGAAGCCCCTTTAGGATGTTTGATTGGGCGTGTTAATTAGGTGAAGGGGGCATTTTGATAGCTGGACCTTGGTGGTTAGCCTCAGGAAGTGAACAAATATGGTAACAGACCTTGGTGGTTAGCTTTAGGAATGTAATCTAACAGTTTTTAGCAAGGAAAGAGGAAGGGCAAGGCCTGACAGTGCCATGTTTGTCATGCTCAGGCCTGCTAGATCCCTTCAGGCTGTGTATTCATGAACCCAGAGCTGGGCCTTTTCCAAGGCTAGGAAATGTGCAGTCTTCAGGAATAGCACACTGCTTTTGCAGACAACTCTCACCATTTGAAGGATCTTCCTATCTTCATTCTAGATAGATAGATAGATAGATAGATAGATAGATAGATAGATAGATATAGAGATAGATGGGTAATTTGTAGGAGTTAGGAAAACAGCTATTCCGGTATGGCAATGTGAGCTTTTTAATCTCTGGATTTGGGAAGTGGAAGCAGGAGGCTCAGGAATTCAGGGTTATCTTTGGCTACATAGTGAATTTAAGGCAGGCCTGAAGTACATGAGACCCTAGATAAAATTTTTTAACAAAGGAAACCATGGCCCCACCCCTTCTGCTGTTTAGGCTGAGATTTAAATGTGATGGATCCAAGGAAATATCAGGATCAGAAACTGAGGCATCAGGTCACTTTCCCAGTTGTACACATGATGCTGTTGAAAGGTGTCCATCCTTGAATCAGCCAGCTTCACTGCATGTTTATGTTGTAGCTTTGACTCCCTCCCACCCTATTTGTAGGCTTTATAAGAGCTTCATGGGGAAAATGCCCTAAAAGGCACTTTCATGTTCACTTTGACTTGAAAGGGAAATAGGATCATATTACCTGTTGTATATCCTACAAACCTCGTATTTATAAAAATGCTTAACTCCAATGGAAGCCACTGTGCCTATACTCACAGCAGCACAGCCCACTGCAGTCTGTTTGTGGAGAGCTTGCTTTGACTATTTTGCTCAGCAAACTTCTGCTGAAATTGTTTCCCTCAGTTGAATTTTTTCCAGGTAAGAACTGAGCAGAGGGCTGAAGAGATGGTTCAGTGGTTACTAGAGGACTCAGGTTAAATTCTCAGCAGCTTACAACTGTCTAATTCTCAAATCAAAGGATCCAACACCCTCACACAAACATACATACATACATACATACATACATACATACATACATGCAGGCAAAACACAAATGCACATGAAATAATTTTTTTTAAAGAAAAAAAATGTTACTTTAAAAAAAATGAGCAGAAAGCTCCAGTTGGTAAGTTTCATCCAATTAAGAATAATTCCAGCTTTGGCACTAGAGAGATGACTCCGTGGCTAAGAACACATACTGCTCTTGCAGAGGACTGGAGTTCAGTTCCCAGCACCCCAGGAAGCTCCAGACTGAAACTCTAGCTTTCTGGACTCCTCAGACACGCCTTCACTGGTGCACAAATGCATGCACCCACACACACACATTTTAATTTTAAATCTTAAAAAAAAATTGAAACACTCTAAGGAACATCACTCTTGGTGGAATAAAAAGAAAATGCTAGCTAATCTCCAAAATCATAGCTTCTCGAGTGTATTCAAGAGCAGGGGTTGCTAGGTAACCAAGTAAGCTGAATGTAGAGAACTGGGCCATAGCTTTCACTGTGGGCAGAGCACTGGAGAGGAGGTGGCCTGCCATAGTAGTTGACCATAGGAAGTCAGTTAAAAGTATTATGAAATGAGTAAAGATTTAGGATGGCAGTTTGGTTTATTTTTCTGAAGGTCCCAAGATGACTCAATGAATGGTGCTGCAACAACTGGATGTCTGTTGGCAAATTAGTAAATAAAAACAATGCCAACTCATCGCCTTACAACCATTAAAAAAAAAAAAAATAAAGCGCTTGAGAGAAGCCAGGTGTGGTGGGGCTCACCTTTAATTCCAGCTCTTGGGAAGCAGAGGAAAGAGGATTTCTGAGTTTGAGGCCAGCCTGGTCTACAGAGTTCCACGACAGCCAGGGCTACACAGAGAAATCTTATCTCAAGGGAAACAACAACAAAACAACAAAAACAACCACCCCAAACCGAACCAAACCAAACAAGAAAAAGCAAAACAAAAGTGTGGGCATGGTAGTCTCTGGTGAGCTTACTTCACAAGTTTCTTTTATAAACAATTGTTTATTTCTAACTCAATGTGCACAATGTATACAATATTGTGAGTACACAGTATGCATGTAGATATATAATATTCACTTTTACATACATATAGACAAAAAACATTACCCGTGTGTGTTAGTATCCACTGTTGTGACAAAACACTTGCTATACCTGCAATGAGTAAAGCTTTATTTTGGCTCATGGCTTTGGTCCATGGTTCTTTGACCTCATCACTGAAGGCCTGAGGCAAAACTGATTATAGAAAGAAACACTTGGCAAAGAAGAGTGCTTCCCTCATGATAGAAAGGAGACTGGGTTGAGGGCAAGATACAGCCCTTCAGTGTCCCACTTCCTGCAAATAGGCCTGATGGGCTAACTGTCCAACTATGAAATAATCAATGGATTAAACCTCTGACGTCATCACCCTTATGATCCAATCATTCTTCACCAGCACCACCTGCTGAGGAGCCCTCAACCCATCAGTGCTTTGGGGTGTTATTTCATACCCAAATGTGATAACCATAACAACCAGCCATAAGTGTCACATAATGTTCCACTGAAGTCCATGGGCTTCCTTGATCCAGGGGCTAACACTACCTATCTGGAGACCATGGCTACATTGGGGCTAGGGCTGCTGTTTGGCCAGCCCTTTACAAAGCAGCCACTTCCTAGTGCCCTTCCTTTTGGCCAAATATACACTAGTTCTGAGTCATGTGCTTTGGATCTTGTTAGATCAGTTTTGGGGGCATTTTGAATTACCCTGAGGTGGTTGCCACAAAGTACTGGCTTTTATCTATCCTTTCTCTCTTCTGCTCAGGGTCTAGTCCTACGTCCACCTTTTATGTCTTCCCTCAGCTGTCTGGATCACAGGGTCTGTAGGCCTAGGAGCTTAGTCATGAGTCTCAGATGAGGGTCTGGAATAATTTCACAAAAGATTAGATAAAAGGAGTCTCTTTTCCTTTTACACATAGTTTTAACTAGTAACTCAAATCCCAATGTCCAGCCAACTGGTCTTCTAATTTAATTCATATTTAATGCACTGCAGCAAGTCACTTTCTTGAACCTCTTGGATGTTAATGAATCTCAATTAACACTCAGATGCCCAGGGGTTGATTCCCAGGCCTACTCTTTAACTAGGAGACTGAAAAGGATGTAACTTGTTTACACGAGCGGCAACTAGAAGCTCAGGGCTCTCAGAGCTGCTCTTTATGATACCAGGCATGGGTACCATGGGTGTGAGAAATAGAATTATAGATGCTCACAAAGCAGAGTTCTGCCAAATTCAGAGTATCAGAAGTCAACATAGAGCACAGAGGATTTCAAAAATGAACAAGGCACGATACAGGTGTGAGGAGCAGCCCTATCCAAGGTCTCTTCCTCCTCCACACCCCCACTTTTCATTATATTTTTGAAGACAGGATGTCGTGTTGTAGCCCAAGCTGGTCTGGAGCTCACTATGTAGCACAGGTTGACTGCAACCTGACAATGCTAATACTTCAGCCTCCTGAGTGCTAGGATTTCAGACATGAGCCACCAGACCAGCTCAAATGAAAGTTTCTGAAGCCAGAGTCTACTGGAATTTAGTAACTAGTCAGCAGTCTCAAACAAATGCATTTCTGAACCAAAGACAAA